TTTGATCTTGGGTATATTCCAGCTATGGATTATGGGAGCAGCTCTCAGGAAAATGGACGTTGGCTTACCTGAACGTCCCATTTCTGGGCGCTGCGACCACAATCCATCCCCACCCTGTTTGTTGCCTTGGTTGTGGCTTCCTGCCCTTATTTCTCCACTGTGGGTTGGACATGTTGCATTCTTTGCAGTTACCTTTGACTTTTTGTTATGCAGCCTTACCGCGCCTTCGTGAAAGACTGGAGGATCATGGGATTGTGGGCATGGTCAAGGAGGAAGAATTAGAATGTTTTTTACTCAGTTCCTGTCGGAATATGAGGAAGTTACCCAGCTATGGATTGTGGTCGCAGCCCAGAAAAGGGACGTTCAGGTAAGCCAACGTCCATTCTATGACTTTTTATTTTCTAGAAGAATAAATGCATTTATGAAATAAATACATTTATAAACCACTTCAACCCCTTTGGGTTCTAAGCAACTTATAATGTATATAATAAATATGTAGAAATTATATGTATATAATGTATAATAAAAAAGAACAATCCTAGTAATAAAGTAATAGGAAATAGAACTCCATGTAACAGTAATAAAAACTAAAAATAAACTTACATTCCAGAAGATGGAGTAATAAAACATATACAGGCTCACATAAATTCACTTGAAAGATAGTGTGTGATGGTACTGTGGGCAGGATGCAGGTGGGTCAAGAGGGAAAAAAACACACCTTGTAATCACATTTCAGTTTCATGAGTAAGTGTTCCTTTCTGATGTGCTGTGGAAAAGAGAGAACAGAGCAAGCCACAAACATGATAAAAAAGGGCGATGGATAAAAGGCATTTATTCTTAATTTTGATTTAGTGTGGATTTTAGTAAATTCAGTTGAAAAAATCAGAAGGTTTTGGTCACTCACATGAATGACTAAAGTCACCACATTCCTCTGTCTCCACAGTCTTGATTCTGGGTAGTTTGCTTGCTTCCTTTCCTTCCAAGCAAACTATATACCTGAAAAAAAATCTCTCTGCTTTGTTTCTTGTTACAAGATACTGCAGGTGACTAGCACGAAGCAGAAAACTTTTTCGTTTTTGGACTACAACTCTGGAATACAGGTGGTTAAATAGGGAGTTCTGAGACAGCCAGCAAAGAATCATCACAGGATACACTGCCAGATACTGATCTAAATTAACATTTGCTGGATCAGCAAGCTAAAAATACTCCCTCTCACTCCACTGGGCACTTTAGTCTATTATAAGAGCAATTGTCAAGGGGTTGGTGGGGGGGAATATAAGAACATAAAGGGATTGCTGGCAACTTGCCCTTTCTCTTTACAATGTGCTGAATTTAGGTGCAGATGTGGTTTGCATTACTCTCAGTTACAGGCTGTAGTGGAAGCATCCTGGACAGACATGCATGTGCCCACAAATGGGGATGGAGATTACGTGCCCCAAAAGGCATGTCTGCAAAGTCACAGAGAATGCAAAGAAAATGAGAATCTCATCTAAAAATAAGTCTTCTTCCTGTTTTTACCATTCCATCTTGAAAGGCACATTTTAGAGTCCTGGTCTACGGCTTTCAAAGAAATAAATGCTTCCCTACTTTCGCTTCCAAAGTATTTTAATTTTTTTATTATATAAAATACAAAGGAGAGAAGAAAAAAATAGGAAATTAAGGGAAGGAAAGGGAGCAGGGGAAAGGGGGTGTGAGATACAAGGGGAAGGAGAATGGTTCCTTACTTTCGTAGCTCATCTGCTGCTGATAATTACAAGTTGTCCTCAACTCATTTAGTGACCGTTCAAAGTTACAATGGCACGGAACGAAGTGATTTATGACCATTTTTCACAGTTACGCCTTTGCAGCATCCCCATGGTCATGTGATCAAAATTCAGAGGCTTGGCAACTGGTTCATATTTATGACAGTCGCAATGTCCCCAGGACATGTGATCACCTTTTGCAACCTTCTGACAAGCAAAGTCAATGGGGGATTTAACAACTGAGTTACTAACTTAATAACTTCAATGATTCATTTAACAATTGTGGCAAGAAATGTTGTAAAATGGGGCAAAACTCACTTAACAAATGTCTCACTTGACAACAGAAATTTAAGACTCAATTGTGGTCATAAGTTGAGGACTACCTATATTCTGATATTAAAGCTAGGTTTGAACCTTTGCCGTTAATTTGTCTCCTACCTCCTTTTTATCTTGACTCATCCTAAATGTCTACAGAGTGACCACCATCTTGATTTTTTTTGAGTCTGTAGCTCTATTAGTGAAAGTAAATCTCTCCTGCCCCTCTTCCCTTCCGTGCTTTCTTCTCTACGAGGGGCCTGGTGTATCCAGCCGTCCAGTGGTAGAATTCAATTTTTTTTACTACTGGTTCTGTGGGCGAGGCTTGGTGGGCGTGGTGTGGTGGGCGTGGTGTGGCAGGGGAAGGATACTGCAAAATCTCCATTCCCACCTCACTCCAGGGGAAGGATACTGCAAAATCCCCATTCCCACCCCACTCCAGGGGAAAGATATTGCAAAATCTACATTCCCACCCCACTCTGGGACCAGCCAGAGGTTGTATTTGCCAGTTCTCCAAACTACTCAAAATTTCCACTACCAGTTCTCCAGAATCTATTGGAACCTGCTGAATAGCACCCCTGCAACAGTCCCAACTGGAACTACTGTGCAAGTCATTGTGCACACTCTGAGCCCCTGCTCCCAGAGCCTTAGCAACAACCAGAGAAAAAAAATAGTGCGGTGAGAGGTGCTTCCAAGAATTGGAAGAGCACAATTTTGTAAAGCTTGGGGTCAGTCTTGGCCTTTGGATGCTGAGGTGAACCATAAAAAGGTGATGGGGCCAGTACAAGAATTCCATTCAATTTACATTTACTTTTGATTAAATGTAATAAAGATTTCAATCCAGGCTTAATTTTATAATTATCCTGTTCACAAGTATTTTAAAAAATTCAATAGCAACTTTTGGAAATAGCAACTTTCTGAGAGTCACATCAAAAGCTTTGGGGGCTGTGCATGATCCAGGGAGAACCTAGTGGTAAATCTGTGCTTTAAGATCTTTGGTCTGGGAGATGACATGTGTATTCATGGATGTAAATGCATACCGACAGATATGTATTTACACACGCAAGCAACTTGGTGTGTGTAAAGGTTTGGCCTTGCATAATGCATTTCTATTAGGGACCCTTGGGTTTACATACAGATCTGAATTTCAAGGCAGAATGTTTCACATAGTTGCAGAAGAAGGATGTTACTGACTTCAGCACCCTTCACAATATGATGTCATCTTTGTTTCATTGAGAATAAGTCAAAGGACAGATGGGAGAAAAGGCATCCAAAAAAGAGTACTTCAAAGAACACTTCATTTGGAAGGTCTTTTGAGTACAGTGGACTGGAAATATATTTACATGGCAACATCACCTTGCAAAGTCCTAGAAAAGTGGAATTGAGCCAGAGCAATAGCTTATTGCTGGGGAAGGTGTGTGCTGCAATAAAATATTGTGTACAGATTTGCTATGCTATGTTGTGTCAATCAGAATAGAAGTGGAAGGTAGAGGTGGGATTCACTTACCTTCCCTGCTGGTTTGCAAATCTGAGCGTGCATGCACACTTGTTTTGCTCACACGCACCACCTCCACGCATGCGCAGGCCTTCTGTGCATGTGCAGTAGTCACGCATTATGTCCGGGCGGGTGGGCAGAGCCTCCCGTAGTCACCGCTTCTGGTTCACGCGATCTGGAGAGAACCGGTTGAATTCCACCACTGGTGAAAAGGACCTTGGAGGTCTTCTAGTCCAACCCCCTGCTCAAGCAGGAGACCCTAACCATTTCAGGTGGCTGTCCAGTCTCTTCTTAAAAATCTTCAGTGATGAAGCACCTTCTGAAGGAAAGCTGTTCCACTGGTTAATTGTCCTCACTATTAGCAAGTTTCTCCTTAATTCCAGCTTACTTCTTTCCTTGATTAGTTTCCATCCATTGTTTCTTGTCCTGCCCTCTAGTGCATTGGAAAATAAATAAATCCTCTTTGTGGCAGCCTCTCAAATACTGAAATACTGCTATCATGTCCCCCCTAGTCCTTCTTTTCTCTAGACTAGCCAAACCCAAATCCTGCAACCGTTCTTCATATGTTTTAGTCTCCAGGCCTTTAATCATCTTAGTTGCTCTTCTCTGCACTTTTTCCAAAGTCTCAACATCTTTTTTGTAATGTGGTGACCAAAACTGGATGCGGTATTCCAGGTGCGGCCTTACTAAGTCTCTATAAAGCGGTACTAATACTTCACATGATTTTGATTCTATGCTTCTGTTTATACACCCAAGGATTGTGTTTGCGTTTAGTCCTTAGAAAACAACTCTCACGGGTAGAAGTTATGTTGTGATGGTGCAGTGCTGTTTTTGTCATTTTACTTGATCCTTCCTGCATGCTGAATTGCAGAATTCAGAAAAAAGCCCAAAGCTAATTGAGCTGTGGGCCATAATGCAGTACATATTGATATCTTTTGGGAGGTCATCTGTCATTAATTCTCAAAAGTCAGGAACAGATATTTAGGCTAAACAAGTAGTCCTCAACCTATGGCCGCAATTGAGCCAAAAATTTCTGTTGCTAAGTGAGACATTTGTTAAGTGAGTTTTACACCTTTCTTGCCATAGTTGTTAAGTTAGTAACATGGTTGTTAAGTGAATCTGGCTTTCCCTTTGATTTTGCTTGTCAGAAGGTTACAAAAAGTGATCTCATGACACTGCAACCTTCATAAATATGAATCAGTTGTCAAGCTTCTGAATTTTGATCACATGGCCATAAAGATGCTGCAATGGTCATAAGAGTCAAAAATGATCATAAGTCACTTTCAGTGCAGTTGTAATTTCAAACAATCACTAAATCACTGTTGTAAATTGAGGACTACCTGTATTGCTTAGGCATGAAGATTCATTTATTCACTGCAGTTCAAGTCTCATAGTGTGACTTATATTCCAACATCTAAACCTTGCATTTCCTCTTGTGTTCTGTTTAGTTTCCATATGCAGCACCTCCTCCCCAGGAGCCAGTGAAAACATTGAGGAGCCTGATCAACATCCGCAAAGATACACTGCGTTTAGTCAAGTAAGTCGGTGATTTCAGAACAGGGATTTGTTCTGCACTTTGAACCTTTAACTCAATCAAAGCAGGAAAAAAATACCCCAACAAAGAGAACTGCCTAGCATTAAGATGACTTAGTGAATGGGACTTCCTGTGGCTTAAGGCTTTTTGAAGGGAACTTGTTTGCTTGAACGGGCTTGCCTAGGAGCCGCAGAAGAGAATACAAAGTTAGACCAGACAGGGATGTGATGGGGTAACTACAGATTTGCCATTCTCCAGTCCAGCCTTTCTCAGCCTTGTTTTTCCAGATGTAAATCCCATAATTCCAAGCCACCTTGGTTGTGCTAACTGGGAATTCAAAGAATTATCACTTCAGCACTTCTCAAAGGCCAAGTTGGAAAAGCTAATCCAGGTCAACATTGCTTTCCAAGAATTTTATCTCCCCAACTTAGCTTTTTATGGCTCTTGTGGGTAAAATCACAAGGAACTGACCTGGGACCTTCTACAGGAAAAGCAAAACATAAATTGGCAAAGATTTCTTGGCCTAATTAACTGTAAACATTGATATGTGTATAAATTTAAATGCATTGCTGTACCAAATTCCCTTATCTAGTACAATAGCATGGCTGATGTACAGTATATGATGGCATGCCCTTTTAGCTATTTCTCTAGAACAATGCTGTGCCTCCTCTATTTAGATGACTTGGGGCTATTTTATTTTTTTTACTTTCCAAATTTGGTTTAAGAAAAAAAAACATAGAATTATAGGGCCAAAAGGTACCTTGGAGATCTGCTAGTCCAACTCCTGCCCAAGGCAGGAGACTTTATACCATTTCAAACAAATAGTTGTCCAATCTTTTTTGAAAACCTCCTGTGATGGAGCATCCATAACTCTGTGAGACAAGCTGTTTCACTGACCAATTGTTCTCACTGTCCAGAGAGAGTTTCAGGTTGGATCTCCCTCTGATAAGGTTCCACCCATTGCTCCTTATCCTGCCCTTGGCTGTTTTGGAGAATAAATCGATCCCCTCTTCCCTGTTATAACCCTTCATCTAAATGGCTATCATGTCACCTCTAAGCCTTCTTTTTGTTAGGGTAAGCATTCCTAGTTCCCTTAGATGTTCATTGTATGATTTAGCCTCCAGAACCTCTTGTCACCTTTGTTGCTCTTTTCTGCATTCATTCTAGAACCTCATCATCTTTTTTGTGTTGTGGTGACCAAAACTGTAAAAAGTATTCCAAGCAAGGCCTTATTAGTGCAATATAGAGCAGTACTATCACTTCTTGTGATCTTGATTCTAACCCTCTGTTGATGCAATTTAGGATTGCATTGGCTTTTTTGCCAGCTGCAACACACCGCTGGCTCATACTTAAGTGGTGGTCCACTAGGAGACCTAGATCCCTCTCACAGTTACTATCATTGAGCCAGGTATTGCCTATTTTGTACTTGTACATTTGGTTTTTCCTGCCTAAGTGCAGGATCTTACTTTTCTCACTACTGAATTGCATCTTGTTGGATAGACCCAATGCTCAAATCTGTCAAGATCCTTCTGAATCTTGAGTCATCTTCCAAAGTGTTATTAATTCCCCCCAGCTTGTTGTCATCTCCCAATTTGATGAGCACTCCTTCAATCTCCTCATTTTGGTCATTTATGAAAATGTTAAAGAACACTGAGCCGAATACAGAACTTTGAGGTACCCCACTGTATGCTTCCTTCCATGAGACATAGTTCCATTGAAGACTATACATTAAGTGCGGTTGATGAAGCAACTGCAAATCCATCTGCTGATGGTACTGTCTGTCCCACATTGTTCTATCTAAGAAGTAGGCTATGGTCTACTTTATCATATGCCTTATTGAGGCCTAAGTATACTATATCCATAGCATTTCCTTGGTACACTAATTTAGTCACTTTATCAAAGAAGGAAATAAGGTTTGTTTGACATGATCTGCTTTTAACAAACCCATGCTGGCTTCTAGTAATCACCTTATTTATTTTTAGTTCATTCTTGTCCTGTTTACCCATTGCTTGATTATCTTTTCAAAAATTTTCCCAGGTGTTGATGTTAAGCTGGTCTATATAGTTTCCTGAATCCACTTTTCCTCCCTTTTGAAATATTGGAACCACATCTTTTCCAGTCCTCTGGCAGTTTCCCAGGAGTCTGATTTGTTCAGTTGCCTATGGTGCATTATGGTGAATTCTAGTATGACATGGTCACTCTCCCCCAAGTTTCTACAACTCTACTCTGTCAACCACTTCATCCCTACTAATAAGAATTAACTGCAAGGTAGCTGACCTTCTAATTCCCTCCTCGACTTTTGAATGAAAAAATTGTCAGCTAGACATCTGAGGAACCTCTTCGATCTCCAACTTGCTGCTGTTTCCCAGTTGATATCAGGATAGTTAAAGTCCCCCATTACTATAGTGGTGTGTTTCCTGCACATCTCAGCCATACTGAGCCAACTGTAGTATATACCTATAGCAATGTCATTTCTTTTTCCTCCAATATTCCTTCAAATACTTTCAAGAAGGCTTTCATCCGTAATATTGTGTATTTCTGTAGAAATATAGTAATTCTTTACATACAGTGTGACAATATCTTTGCAGCTTTTAGATGCAGTTATATCAATAGCCCAGAACACAAATATGTTACAAGAAGCAAGCTTCCCTCTGACACATATTTATGTGAACCAGTTCTTGTCCTCTTCCAATTGTACTTGTGATTTAAAATGTTGAAGCTTCTTCCTAGCTCTCATCCGACATGAAAATCAATTAGCAGAAATCCCCATCTTTGTGGATTTCTTTAATTGGGAGGTCTAGCTACTCAATCTCATAGGCCAGCTGCTAATTGAGAGTGTCCTGTGTTTTAGGACTCTTGAAAGTTGGGTGGTATTTTTTGAACTTGACTTCAAAAAGTAAAGTGAGAATTAGCTCTGAATAACTACCGTATTATGTACAGATGTTGCCTGTTGGAAGCAGTCCATACGCTCTTGTGCAGCAGGGCGTATCCGCATGCAGCTCTTCAAGATTAACACGGAGATTAAGTGTGAACAATTCTGGGGAAGAATTTCTACAAGTGTTGTGTAAAATGATTTGATCAGCTTCTTGTCTCTTTTTGGTCTTTATCTTCCCCGTCTGGCTTTCCGGATAACTACAGGTGACAATAGGATTTAAATAAAGTTGAATTCATTTTTGTTGCTAGGCTGGGATTAGAGGGGAATCAGTGCTAACAGTATAATAGATCTGCGTGGAGAAGGGGAGAACTTCCTTAGTGGTCAATGCTCCTCACTTCAGTCCTGAGAACTAAACTGTTGGATTCTGGACAGCATAACAGCAATTATGAGCAAGTCTCAGTATAAGATTTTTTTCTACCAAGTTAATATGCCTTGATTTTGATTGCTAATTGCTCTCTATAGTCTTTCTCCCCCCCCTCCGATCTAGAACTTGCATACGGTTCTACATGCAAATGCATTCAGAAATTAAGTGTGTTTGAAGTATGACCTAAAACAGGCATCCTTGCAGTGGATGGAAGCCATTTATAATGTTTCTCTGTAAATGCATTGCCATGTATCCCTTTGGGTTTACTCTGTTTTTGCAAACACGTCTGTGTTTGTCTCCTGAGAATCTAAACAATAGGCAAAGATGTAAAACATGCAAGCAAGGCCTTCGTTGATATTTGTTGTTTTCATCCTGCAATTCAGCAGTGTCAGTTTTCATTAAATCAGGTGGATAATCTTCAACTGTCACTTTCTCGGCAACGACCTGGAAGAATTTTATTATGCTAATGGACTAGCTTTCTGTTTTTGTATTCTTGTCCTTTATCTCTTCTGCTCTCATACTCATATTCGGGAGTCAGTGATTCTGGACAAAAGCTGTTCCTGTAATAACCTGGGACTTCAGTGTTTTTGCAGAATTGGTTTAGCACATGGCTGTCAAACTTGATCATGTCATGTGACATATTGTGACAATTTTTTTTGCCTTTGCAGAGCTGGGGTGGGCATGGCCTGTGTGTGACACATCTGGCCTGTGGGCCGCCAGTTTGACAGGCCTGGTTTAGCACTTATGGTGTTATTCCGTTCCCTTATAATCATTGGTGGCAATGTGAAAAGTCTGGCTGCAGGTAGTTCAGTCTTCATGGGAAGTGACTAATGTGTTGATGTTCCTCACTCCCATCCACCCCAATCATAATAGAGCCCAGCAAAGGAAGAGAACACATAATGTTGTCCTTAAAAGAAAAGGAAATTTGGAAAACTACTGAGATAATTGGTAATCATAGGTAATGTGATGGAGGGGTCCTTGATGGACTGTAACTTTATCTCTTTTACAATCTACTAGAACAAATGAGCCTCACGAGCAGTTTACACTAAACTGTTTTTATTTACATAAAATAAAACAAGGTCTATTCAAAAAGAATATTAGATGTCATTCTCTTTCTTAAGAGTCCTGTCAGCTCTCTGGTGTAATCGCTCTATGCAACTGGAGTTCAGGCTTTTCTTCCTCAGAAGGAAGAGGCTTTAGTGACTTCAGCTCTGCCTCTGATCCCGAACCTAAAATGTCTGTTAGCAAGCATCTCCTTTTATACTGTCTCAGTGGCAGTTAGGGGAGGGCATAGAAAAGCCCGGGAGATTCAAAGCCAGGAGCTGCTCTCTGATTGGCTTATTTAATTGTCTAAGTCAAAGGCCATTAATAGGCACAGCAACTGTGAGGGAATTTTTCTCTCACAGATAACGCTGGTGTTCTCTCATACTGCCAAATAGCAGATTAATGTGTATATTAAAAAGATACAATAAAAATATTTGGATTATTTATTGAGAAGAACTATTGAAAAAGTGGAAGAGGGATGCATAGAGTACTTTGCTAGAAGGCAGAGGGGCATGAAAATTGGCTGGGTGACTTTGGGCCAAACATTCTATCTCAGCCCAATCCATCTGACAAGATTGTAGTTGTAGGGAGACGAGGCGAACCCAGGTATGTTTGCCGCCTTGAATTATTTATAAAAATAATAAAGGTGGGATAATAAATAAATAAATGTAGCCAATAGGTATAAATATTAGCTGAAGTAAGCAATATAGTCACATATTTTCCTACCAAATCTCAGTATTGTGATTTCAACACATACTTCTAGAAGTATGGAAACAGCACATATGAATATTAAAGGCCTCCTTATATTTGCAACAATCACAGGTCTAGCGAGCTCTTTTCAGTTTTTATTAGGAAGCTTCTTAGCTCTAGGAGATGCTGAACCTTCCTTGAACTCCCTGTACTTTCTGCATACAAAATAATATACTCTGCTGCTGATCTATGAGCTCAGTGTCAGAGAACAGCCTCTTAATCTACCACTAGATATTTCTTCTGTAATAAAAAAAAATGGACAAATCCTGGAATGTATAGGGGGAAAAATACCAACAAAAGCTTTGGGTACAGAAACTCTTGGTGTAGTCATCCAAAACCTGTGCCAGTCCTGGATTCAAGAACCCTTTACTCTTTACTTGCTTTACCTAAGTATGTCCCAATAAAGATAGTGAGATAGTAGTTCAAGAAAAGGCAATACCATTTCTTATGGTTATGGTCTAGAGCAACGGCCCCCAACCTTTTGAGCTCCAGGGACCAGTTCCGTGGAGAGAGGTTTTTCCATGGACCAAAAGGGGCATCTGGTGTTGCCTGCATCTTGCAGATGGGACTTTGCTTGTTTGGGTGGGCCGATTTCTGGCATGCTGCAGATCGATGCCAGTCCATGGACTGGAGGTTGGGGACCCCTGGTCTAGAACCATATTTCTCATATTTCTAAGAAACCAGAGGCAATTGCTGACAATAGTAATAGCACTTAGATTTATATATCGCTTCCCAGTGCTTTATAGCCTTCTCTAAGCAGTTTACAGAGTCAGCATATTGCCCCCAATAATCTGGGTCCTCATTTTACCCACCTTGGAAGGATGGAAGGCTGAGTCAACCTTGAGCCAGTCAGGATCGAACTCCTGGCAGTGAACTGAATTAGCCTACAATACTGCATTCTAACATGTACAATCATACCGTAGCAACTTCCAACCAGGTACCTTCCAGATTTATTGGGATGGTTACTCCTAGAAGTCCCCAAATCACTCCTTAAAAAGTTGGATCTTCAGCATTTGTACAAAATATATGGTTACTTTGTTCTGCTCTGTTAGATGCACAGAGGAAGTGAAGACTCCAGGCGAGGAAGTCAGCAAAGCAAAAGTCCAGTACAACGTGGAGTTCACATTTGATACAGATGCACGGGTGGCCATAACCATTTATTATCAAGCCACTGAAGAATTTCAGAATGGAGTGGTGAGGTAAATCAAAGGCAAACTGGGAAAAGGGATCACCTCATAGCTATTGTTGCTCATTGTTAGGAGGAAAAGTGGACAGGGCTGTCTGTTCAGGGAACTGCAAATTTGTAATCAAGATATATGTCAGCATTCCAGAAATCCCCTCAACTCTTAAGTAAAAACTCTGAAGCAAGCATTTTTCAAAGTTCTATTTACTAGAATAGGTAAACTGACACATCTGGGAAAACCCGAATCGGAGAGGTCAGGGTTTCCCTCAGTAAATCAACCCCCCCCCCCAAACCATCCCTCACTCCTCAGTCGATCACATGCTCCACTCACCATCCGTCCCATCTCGAGACAGCACTCCGACCACTCCTTCTCCAGATGCAGGATATGCCTGACGTTGACTGGAAGAATACTATTATGTCTAAAGACAATGCCTCTACTAAATCCCCCCTCCAACTTTCCCACACATGAGAAGGTGGCATGGAAGCTTCCGGCCTAATATGGCTTCCAAAGCTGACAATATATCCATGTAAAATGCTGTGATGACCTCTGCTGTTTTATATCCAGTAAGTAGAGGGCTAGAGTATCTACTGTAGGAATGCAGGTAACTCCACAGCTAATTGCCTCCTAGCATCAAGTTGTAGAAGAGGTGGGGATAGAGGGTGCCAGATTTAAATTTCATTGGATATAAGAAAGGACTGTACCCATGTGTTGATAGAAGGTAGAATTAGGTGCTTCAAGCAGCTTCTTCCTAAATATGTAATAGAGTTTGATCACGCCTGTTGGGTTCACAATCTAGGTAGCTTTCCACCAAATTCAGCTCAAGGAGATTGATGTATGTGAGGTAAGAAGCCTGGTCCTATTAACTTCCATTTTGATGTGTGATATTTGAAAAGAGTGCCTTTACATGCGATCACAACATCATTTTTATTTTGGACATATTTATAGGGAATTTCTAGGTTCAGAAATTGTGGTGAATGAATGGAGTTTGAAAAATGTAAAAATTGGCAGCAGAATGGATAGGCACTATCATCCTTTTAAAAATACATGCTGGCTAAATGCATGGAAGTTGCCTGAATGCTCCTTGTTGTCTTTTATCCCTTAGAAGAATATTACCTTACAGAGTTCTGAGAAGTGAGTTCTTTCTAGCATGCTGATCATCATTGCCAAAAAAAAAGTAAGAAAGCAAGAAAGAAAAAGTCTTGCTTTAATATAACATGAAATTATAGGTGTGAATGGAATCTGCCATTCTATGAAGCCAGCACTTCCAATCACAATGATGGCATGCTCTTGTAAAGGAAATGCATTTTTCTCAGCATTAAAATACTGCAGATTGAATCAAAGTGAAAATGATATTATTTTCTAAGAGCACTCCTTTGAGAAACATATTTTAACTCATGACGAGCAGCTGCACATTAGGGAAAATTAATCCATATGCCAAGAACCAGACAGGTTTTAAAAATTCCCAATATGTTTTGGATATATGGCATAAAGTAAAGCAGCTCTATAATATCTTAAATCAACAATTATATATAAAAAATTAGAATTAACTTTACCTAATCAGAGTGGCAAGTGTGCATTTGCTTGTTTGTATCTGTGCACATACACATACATACATGTAATATGCACACCACACATATCATAAAGAAAAATGAAAATAATTTCAGAAGGAAAATAATACTGTTAAGGACACTCCTCCCCCAAAAAATTAAGATACTGAAAAGTACAGTGTGGAAAATAAAGGCAGTTATAGTATACAAAATCCAGCAGTGTACAGCAACCAAAATATTCTACCATTGGTAGTTAATTACCACTTGCACACAGCTGGTAGGTAACTGTCTAACAAAGCCTGGGGCATTAACACTGTGTTCCAGTACTGGGTAAAGAAATGAGATAAGGACCCATCAGATATGCTAGGAAGCCCAGCCTCAAAAGGACTTCACATTTAGATTTATCCTTTAAAAAAAATCTTACAAAAAGTAAGTCAGTTTATCTCTCTCTTTTGTTTCTATTCTGTGTTTTCTGTGTTGTTACTTCTACTATAATTAAGGGCTTTAGCAAGGGACTTGCCGCTACCCTCCCTGGATCTTTGATAGGAAACTGGGCACAAAATTCACGTAAGTGACTCACATGGACAGCTAAGATGAGTACATGGAGAAAGGGGAGACAGGCATCAGGCTCAGAAATAGAAAAGATTATACAGCTGAAAGAACAACTGCAGATAACCTAGTTATTGCTTATTGTCTTATCTCTTTGGAAAGTTGGAATGCTAGAGAAGAAATCAGCTAAGTAGAGGTTAATGGCCCCATTTGAAAAGGTGATCTCCAAGGTTCTTGCAACCAATATGTGCCTGAATCGTAACTTCATGCTTTTCTGCCTTGTGGCATGGCAGAATTTAGCCTAAAATGGCTTTTGAGGACCATATGCACCGTGAATTGGTTTGTAATACATCACTGCAGCTTCTAAAAACAGTTGTGGAAGTGTTCATGGAAGCCAGCTTAAACTGAAATATGCTGATGTTACAAAGATGCAAATGACAGTCTCCTAATCAATCAGCATAGCTGGAAAACAAACAAAGGCTGCAGGTTGGATGGCCCTGAAAATAGGACCTCAGATGACTATTTTTCATTTGAGAAATTGATATTCTAATAAACATGATAGTAGCAAATTAAAGGGGAAGTAACACAAAAATGGAAATATTATATTGATACCATGCCTGAAAGAAGAGCTCTTTTCTTGGTGATATCTGCATTAGTTATATTAGTTTATGATAGCCAGTTTGGTGGAGTGGTTAAAAGTGCTGGTTAGAAGTTATGAGATTGAGTTCTAGTCTCGTCTTAGGCCCAGAAGACAGTTGAGTGACTTTGGGCCAGACATTCTCTCTCAGCCCTAGGAAGAAAGAATTGGTAAGCTATTTCTGAAAAACGTTGCTAAGAAAATTCCAGAGACTTGTTTTTGTAACCACCAAGAATCAAGATTAACTGAAAGGCCAATAACAACATTAATTGTTTAGGGGTGAATTTTTTTTACACATCTTTCAGTGGCTTAGGGATTCTTCAGAGCGGCATTGCAATTAAAATGATAAAACAACTGTATCAATAAAATATATTACAGGCAAGGAGAAATGATATATAACTTTATGGCTAGAACAAGAAAAATTTTGAGTCAGTCAGAAGGTGGCTTTAAATGTTGTCTGAAGATGATGTTCCATATCTTGGAAGGCTCCCTACTAGGTTAGGAAGATAAGAGCATTGTGTGGGGTTGTTCACTCTGGGTTATCCACTTTTTTCTTATAGTTATATACCCAAGGAGAGCAGTTTACACTCTGAGACTGTCCATTATAAGCGAGGTGTATGCCAGCAGTTCTGTTTGCCTTCCCATAGTATTGATCCCTCAGAATGGGCTGAAGAAGAGGTAAGACAGAAGCATGCTTCAAAGAAATTAATAGTGAGAAATTACTTTTTTGATCAATTATCCTATTAGATTCATATTTCATCAGGGCCTGTGCATGCTGCACAAAATAAAGATCTTTATCGGGGAACAGAATATACTGTTTTACGCTAAAGTAGTAACTGTATGTTACATCTACTGTATGTTTGTCTTTTTAAAAAGCAGAATGTTTCCAGACATTTCTTTCTAAATGAGGATTTCCCCAGGGTGCCTGCATTTATAGTATTGCACACCTGTGGTAATGCTTGCTGGGCACATGAGTGAATTACTATAATTCTACTGATGCTACCGGTATTTTACTCTCTAAGATCACTTGCCTTTTTACCTCAGGCCTCTCATTCTTTGCAGCTGAGCTTTGATCTGGACCGTGAAATTTATCCCATGGTGGTTCTTGCAGTGGTAGATGAGGGAGATGGTAAGGATGCTCTTAAGGTTCACATTCATGCTTTATTTATTTGTTTATTCTATTCAGTATATAGTTTACTTTCTGTTCAAATAAATGGTGACAAGGAAGGTTTTTTTAAAAAAATTAGAAAATTAAAATTGAAAATTTAATCCCTGAGCAAAAGCCTGGTAAAGAAGATACATCTTTACACACTGACTTAATTTTGGGAGATGTTGGACAAGGGATGTATTTCCTTTGGATGTATTTCATTGCCTGGGAGCATGGAAAAGAAGACTTAGGAATGCAGAGTCTTTTATCCCAGAACTTTCTGCCCAGTCCTCATGTTTTGGGGTTGCTCAATCCACTAATCTGCCTGTTGCAACATATGAGATCTCTTCTTGCAATCCCTGGAATGTATCAGAATATTCTGGGGTAGACAATTTTGTACCACTAGAGTACACACACACACACACACACACACACACGGGTGAGCTTCAAAAATTTTAGCAAGGGGTTCTCTGCCTTGTTGCTGGGTGGGTGTGGGCATGGCCTAGTTGGCCTTCTGCACCAGGGCGGTGGGACGTTTTTGCCCTTCACGGGCTCTGGAGGCTTTATTTGAGCCTCTGGGAGGGTGAAAATGGCCTCCCCATGCTCTGGTGGCCCTCTGGAGGACCTGTTTCTGTCCTTCCCAAATTTCCTGTAGGCCCGCTTTTCGCCCTCCCCGAGCCTCCACACACACCCTGCACTTATCTGCATCCAAATCAGGTCGCGTGGGGATTCCGGGGAGAGGAGGGGAGAGGTGGGCAGGGCCAGCCAGGAGAGGGATTTGGGGGTTATTTATTATTTATTATTTATTTATTTTATTTATTTTTTATATTTTTATTTATGTAATTTATATGCCGCCCTTCTCCCGAAGGACTCAGGGCAGCTTACAAAGAACAGAACAAAAATTACATAAACATTAAAAATCCAATTAAAAATTGATTAAAATTATTTAAAATCACCCCTGCGGATCAGCCCATTTGATGAAAGAGCCACGTCGTCAATTTGCGGCGGAAGGAGAGGAGGTCAGGGGCTGTCCTAAGGCCGGTGGGCAGCCCATTCCAGAGGGTCGGCGCTCCCACAAAGAACGGTCTCCCCCTAGGGGCCGCCAGACGACATTGTCTGGCTGATGGCACCTTGAGGAGGCCCGCTCTTTGGGAGCGCACAGGACGATGGAAGGATGGCAGGAGATGATCCTGCAAGTACCCCGGGCCTAAGCCATGTTCTCTGAACTGCATAGAATCTTAGCTAGAGGTTCTCCCAAACCCCTGCGAACCCCCAGCAACCCACCTCTGCACACACACACGCACATGCACACACATGCAAACACACCCTGTGTGCCAGATAGGTGGTCTTCTCCTGAGGGTCTTAATGGCAAGAGAATTATTTTGGATTTTTAAATTTATCACAACTTGTGACAGTTGCATCTGATATTCAGTGGAATTTTAAAAGTACAGGCATAATAGGATTTCTGTATTTTTTGCAGGTTAGCAGATTAGTTCTTGCATTTTGCATGAATTGCACTTCTAGGCATTTTCTAAAGAAAGCCCCAAGCACAGTAGATTGCAGTCATCAAAAGAGGAGTCAATCAAAGCATGTAATAGCATTGCTGAATCTCTGGCTTAAGAAAGATTGTGCTAGCACACTAATCTTGGCTGTGAAAATGTGCTCCCTGCCATAGACATCGCCCACAAATCCAGTGAAGACCAAGAAGTTCTCCCAAATTGTGAACCTGCTCTATCAGAGGGCTTGCATTCCTAGCCGAACTAGGGTGTATCTCAAGTCCTTATTCAGTTTTGTACTTTACCAATAATATCACAATTTTGTCTGGATTTAATTTTAGGATGTTTTCCTTCAGCAGCCTGTTACTGAACTGAACCAGCTACCAATTGCTTACTTGGAGCTTGCTGGAAGGAGCAAGAGAACTAAGTGTCAAATTATTAAATTTATTAAACTTATATGCTGTCCCTCTCACTGATAAAATGGCTAAGCATGCTAGTGACACCCATTTGTCAAGCTGCAGATGACTTCCTGCAGTGGTTTCATGTAGTTGTTGAATAGGATGTGTTCGAGATTGGGTCCTGTAAGATGCTGTCATCCTATCAGTCAAAGTACAAGAGAATAAACCCTCAGGATCCCTTTCTAGACATGGAAAGGCTGGAGCCACTATAGAGCCCAATCTTCTCTGAAAGTTCAGGAAGAATACCATGGCCAATGTATCAAAAATTGGTTACAGATCCCGGAGAATTTATTTATTTATTTATTTATTTATTTATTTATTTATTTATTTATTTATTTATTTATTTATTTATTTATTTATTTATTTATTTATTTATTTATTTATTTATTTATTTATTTATTTATTTATATATATATATACCGCCCTTCTCCCGAAGGACTCAGGGCGGTGAACAGCCAAGATCAAATACATAAATATAAAAGTTAAAAACAATTTAAAAACCAGATTAAATACTTTGGCCTACAATTAAAAACATCCCATTAAAATCCAATTTAAAATTTAAAATTAAAATTAGGCTAGCCCGGCTTGCTGGAATAACAAAGTCTTCAGGGCACGGCAGAAGGTGTGCAAGTCTGGGATCCTCCGGGGGCAGCTCGTTCCAGAGGGCAGGAGCCTCCACTGAGAAGGCTCTCCCCCAGGGGGTTGCCAGTCGACATTGTCTGACCGATGGCACCCCGAGGAGCCCCGCCCTGTGGGAGCATACTGGCCAGTGGGAGGCTGTCGGTAACAGAAGTCGGTCCCGTAAGTACCCAGGTCCTAAGCCATGGGTGGCTTTAAAGATGTTAATCAACACCTTGAATCGCACCCGGAAGACCACTGGGAGCCAATGCAGCTCGCACAGGAGAGGTGTTACATGGGAACGCCCCGCCGCTCCCATAATCACCCGCGCGGTCGCATATTGGACTAGCTGGAGCCTCCGGATGCTCTTCAAGGGGAGCCCCATGTAGAGAGCATTGCAGTAGTCCAGTCAGGAAGTGATGAGGGCATGAGTGACCGTGCGCAGGGAGTCCCAATCCAGAAAGGGATACAACTGGCGGATCAGGTGAACCTGATAAAAAAAAACCCTGGCCATGGCTGTCATATGCTCTTCTAAAGACAGCTACGTGTCCAGGAGGACACCCAAGTTCGAACCCTCTCCCGGATTAATGGGATCAGTCTTCTCAGCCAGTTTCAAGTATAGGCCTTTCATTAAGATGAGTAAAGCAATCTCAGTATCATATCTCCACTGAAAGCTAAATTGGAATGGGTGCAAATAATCAGCATCCTCCAGATGGTGATTGCATCATAATAGGAAGCTGAATTGACAAGTTGCAAGTTGCCACCGTACATTCTAAAAATTACTGCCGATTAAATTGATTCTGTGTCCTGTTGAATATCATTAGTAACTGAAACCCTTAGAAAGGCATCTGTAATGAACCATATATGTATATTTAATTATCCTGGTTATAATTGTGGTCAATTAAGACAACTGCCATTAAGGACAACTGCAGGGGGAAAATGTAGCAGTCTGCGTCAATTTCTGCAAAAATTATGCATCATCCTGAACGTCAATTTTGATCTTGTCTTGCAGAGCATATGGGTCACTGCCATGTATTGCTGGCAACTTTTGAGAAGGTAAACATTGTGTTCTTGCTGATCCAATGTGCAAAATGCATGAATCCAAATTCCCATGTTGAATGTATACAGGTTGAATCAATGTAATAAATAAAGTAAAATATTTAGTTACAAGGTTAAAAATATATAATGAAGAAGAAGATAACACAACTACAGGGGTCTTTTTTGAGTAGTGGTAGTTTCGTAGAATAATTCTGGGTGAGTAAAAATGGTCTGAGTTAAAAGGAGAGTGATTGTTAAATTTTTGAAGAAAAAGGCAGGCATGATATGAATAGGAGACATTTTCTTTGTTGAGTACAATTGTGTTTTAGGGAGTGAGTTCTCTTTCATCACACCTATCCTCTAGAATTTCTTTTGATGGACTGTGACGTTGAAGTCCACCTGAACATTTGTATTTCTTCCTCTCAGCATGCGGATGGCGGCTTTTGTGTGAAACCCCTCAAACAAAAACAAGTGGTGAGTGTGTGGCTGGTGGGATCAGGTTATCTGCTTTCCCGCACGTACTAGTTCCTGTTACTTTTTAGGGAAAGCTGCTTGTGCAATGGCAAGGAATTTGATGGCCATCCAGCCCATTTCCAACAGTACTGGTTGCAAAGAGCTTTTAACCAACCAGTGGATATAAACAAAGGTGGTCACCAATTCACTGTAAACATTTTCCTCCTATTATGGAAAGGTGCCTGTTCAAGTTAGATAATGCAGTTTTTTACTGGGAAAAGTAAAACAGAAAGAAGAAAATTGTTTCTGCAGTCTTTCTTTCTGGAGTTTCATATCCCCTTTCGACCCCTACTTTCCCATGTAATTTCAGTGTTGGTGCTTTTTCTAGGTGGATGGAGTGAGCTATCTCCTTCAGGAAATTTATGGGATAGAAAACAAATATAACACACAGGATTCAAAGGTGAGAACTAGAGCTAAATGTGGAGAATAATGTACATGTTGTACACAGTCTCAACCAGATTGTCTGGAAGTTTCCATGTTAAATGCTTAACGCATTGTAAGCCACCCTGAGTCTCCGGAGAAGGGCGGCATATAAATAAACAAAAAAACAAAAAAAAACCTTCCTTCCTTCCTTTCTTCCTTCCTCCCTCCCTCCCTCCCTTGAATTCACTATGGACACATGTTTGTAAGGACATGCATACCAGCAAGCTTTTCTAATCCAGGTGGCAGAGGATGAGGTGAGTGACAATAGTGCAGAGTGTGTAGTCTGCCTCTCCGATGTCCGAGACACCTTGATTTTACCTTGCCGCCATCTCTGTCTCTGCAACACTTGTGCTGACACCTTGCGCTATCAAGCTAACAATTGTCCCATCTGCAGATTACGTAAGTCCTGATCTTTTTTTTTAATTTTGAGATTGGGTCCTCTCTGGAAGATCAGATGTTTGTTTGATCCTCTCACTTTGAGAAATGAACAATTGCCTACACCTGAGATAGGCTAAGATTATTTAATTTTTAACAACCAACCATCAGAAGAGAAAGGATAGTGCAGCCAATTGTGATCATATTTGACTTGTATTTTAGTGGTCACAGTCACCTATTACCTCGGTTGGTTTTTCAGAGAAATTTCTAGCAGAATTCGAAATGTGTTTTATTCCCTTCTCTGTCCCTCTCCCATTTCTTCCTCACAGCATTTCGGGCCTTGCTACAGATCAGAGCCATGAGGAAAAAAATGGGACCCCTCTCCCCCACCAACTTCAACCCCATCATTGCATCCCAGACATCAGATTCAGAGGAACATTCAGTGAGTATGGGTGGATTGATTATTCAGATGCTGGTCTTATTCCATCTTGGCTGAGATGGTCTTCTGGGCTGCTCATTTTTTGGGGGAGAGGAGTTGAGTACCATGAGGCTTTTTCTCCCCCACTCCCACCTTTTCTGTAAAGGAGTAATCCAGGAAGAAATGCCACTGACAATGAAGTTGTAATGAAATTAGAGCTGGAAATGGCAAGCCTAGATTTTACCTAAATCCACTGAAAAACTCTGAAGACAAATAAGAACCAATTCAAGCAGTATTTATTGTGACCTGCTTGTGTTTGAGAAGAAGGACCATATTTGAATGGACTTTTCTGTATTTCCAGTCCATGTCCATTGCATGTGTAAAAGTGTGAAAAAAGAACAGACTTAGATACCTTCATTGTGCAGAACGAGAACCAATTGCACAACTATACTAACTTACCAAATTAATTATACCAAAGTGTGAGAGACAATACACACTTCGTGTGTGAGAGAGAGTAATAGTAAATTTCAGAGATATAGTCTTTTTCACAACCACAGAAGAAATAAATTGTTTGTTTAAACATTTTAACTTGTACAAGTGCCAAAGAAGAAAGAAGCCAAAAAAAAAAAAATCCTCCTTGGGATTATTAAAAACAGTGAAAAGGCAAAATATATTTTCTAAAAATAAACATGAAAAAATTACCATCTTTCCTCCAGGTTGCTCAGGGAACATAACAGTCATTCCCCAAGCAGAATCAAGCAAGTAAACATGATGCACCAGAAGCGGGAACCCAGGAGCTAGAGAACTTGCTGGCATCTTGGCAGATGAGATGATTAAGGCAGTTGCTAGCGCCATATTTTAATGTGCATCCACACTTAAGCACAGATCGAGTATCAAGTTTAGGGGAGAACCAGAATATCTCAATAACTAAGTTGCAATATTCAAAAGCCGGTAAGGCATTTTGAACTATAGTACTTCAGCCTGCAGATGATATTGTTCAGTGATCCTCCTTTTTTACTGATTTGTCTTTAAACAAATGTGCACTTAGAAAACTTGATGCTAAGAAAGAGAATTCTATCCTAATCTTATTAAAGATTATAATCTTATTATTCTTTTTGGAGAATTCATAGAACATTTTTCCTTCCCATTCTACAGAAGTGGCATGTATCATCTGTAGAAATATGAGTCAAGAATTTCTCTGCAGAAGGAGTGAGCTAAGTCTTTATTTTTATGGCAAAAGTATAGAAGAGTGTGACCACAAAGGTCTTATTTATGTTCAGAAAGACTGTTCTTTGTGTGCACATGTTTTTCTTCCTGACTGTTTATCTTTTTTCAGGTCATAAGATCATCATAATCTTTTCTACCAGCTAAAACATTTCAGGCTAAGAAATCCAAATTACTTGGCTTAGAACAGGGGTGTCAAACTCATGGCCTGCGGGCCAGATGTGTCATATGCTGGCCCCGCCCCCACCCAGTTTAGCGAAGGGGGAAAAAGTCCCAATACGTTATATGACACCGCCATGACGACGCGAGTTTGACACCCCTGGCTTAGAATAAAGAGTTTAACCTAGGCAATTATTAATTCATTATTACATGCCATGACCAAAGCATAGCCTAAAAAAAAACCCCAGCAAAAAAGATAATAATTGCAAATCAATTCAGTAAAGCTAGCTCAAGTAACCAGTAATAACACTACCTTAAAACAAACTCTTGGGATAGAAGTGTGTGTGTACATATTCTAGATATTGACACAGAACTCTCACCTATAGGGTGGAAAAACTAAAGCCTGTACTAACCCAGTAATGCAGAATAAAGATCTTTAACTTCCCTTTAAAAGCAATCTGATTTCCACAGTGTTGAAGAGAACTGTGTTCCAGAGTGGCAGAGCCACTCCTCTTCCATCAGTGATCCTAGTCTCTCTTTCTATTTTGTGTACTCTTTGAGAGTTGTTAGAGCTTTCTGTTCTGTATTGAGCTTCCTTGGAACAATTTCTGCTGCTTAAGAATAACCTCTCTTTCTCATACCCTTCTCTGTTCCTCCAGTCTTCAGAAAACATCCCTCCTGGCTATGAGGTGGTCTCCTTGCTGGAAGCCCTTAATGGGCCTCTCACTCCATCCCCAGCAGCCCTTCCAGTCCGTGTGCTTGGGGACAACCATGTGTCAGGCATGCTACCCACATATGGCAGTGACAGCCACTTGCCTCCCATCCAGACACTACCTTCCCTTGAACGCTTATCAGATTGTGGCAGTCAAGGACATAAATTAAAGAAGAGCCTGTCCAAGTAAGTGACCTCTTGTCATTTCCCTCTTGTACTACAGTAAATGAGCTGCAGGCAATAACACCTTATGGCCGATATCCTATTCCTTAAGTCTATTGTCTCTAATACAATCCTTTGGTCAACAATCTTTTCAGATTCAGATTCATATGATTTTGCTTGGTGTCCCTCAGACAATTATTTAATTATTATTGCAGTTTAAAAAAGGCCAGGTTCTCATTGGAGAACATAGATCTCATGAATATCTAGGCATTTTGGTTTTCTTAAAATAAGTAATAATTTAAAAAATGGTGAGAAACCCATGAACATCATTGAGTATTGTCATAGATGCAATTATTATTCTGTGAACCCTGTGCCGACCACTAGATTTCTTAATGTATCTAACTAGCTGTCAATGGAGTCTTCTGTAGCATTTTTGGAGACCCCCATTCCCTCATTCTAATTTGTGTGTTTTGTACAAAGGAGTTACATTTAGTTTGTGTGTTTTCACCAGGTCAATCTCACAGAATTCCTCGGTATTACATGAAGAAGAGCATAAGGCTTGTAGTGAATCTGAAGTCAGGATTTCCCAAAGGAAGTCTCCCTGTCCTCATGGAGAGGTGATTGTTTTAAAATTCCTTTTTTAATATTACTTGAGCCTAACTGCTGCTCACTTTTTTCCTCCTGCAGGCCTACAGTATAGAACAAGGGTCCCCAACCTTGGCAACTTTAAGACAGCAAGCTGGCTGAGGAATTCTGGCAGTTGAAGTCCACCAGTCTTAAAGTTGCCAAGGTTGGAGACCCCTAGTATAGAAGACACATTAGGAAAAGGAAGATTTTGCCCTTTGCATATAAAGGAGTTAAACTTGCATGTTAGTGAATTTAGACTTGGAAGAGAATCAGAGGTGCTTGCAAATATCTACCTTGAAAGAGAACTGAACTTTACAAGCTGTGGAATTCCTCTCATCTCAGTTAAAATTGCTTTGCCAGATACAAAAATGCTGAGTAAAACCTTTGTTGGTTAGGGGTAATGAAGATTTGCTATCTGAAACTGATAGGACTTTGGTTACCCAGAGTCTCTGTACCCACAGGTGGTAGCACATAACACCCCTCTTAAAATTGGTCAACTCTAATGAAATGCATTTGGGTTAGAGTGTAACATTTTATAAGACTGATCTTGAAAAGGTTACATCTTCCAGTGCTTCAGTTGGTTTGGGAAAATGACTGAAGTTTTTCCAAATTTTCTTCTTATTCTCACGTCTTTCTTAATTTAAAGCTATCTTGGGGAAATCTACCAGTTTCCCCTAGCCTTTATGCCCTTCAGAATTCTCAGTAATGCTCATGTTGGCTGGCAAGTTCTAGAAGAGAAAGACATATATAATGAAGGTGTCTTAGTTTACATAAGCTAATATAGTGGTCAGACTGAGTGCCTGAGTCGGATCCAGTTTCTAATGGTTACTCCATAATAGTTTTTCATTATAGATTATGGTTTCCTTGTTTTTCAGGATTGTGGTGTGACACCTGAAAGCGAAAATATCACCCTGTCGTCCTCAGGAGCAATAGATCCATCATCATGCACAGGAACACCTCTTTCTTCTACCATTTCTTCTCCAGAAGGTACAGTAGAAAAGGTGTTTCTAATCCCTTTACTTTCCTCCAGTTTAATGTAAGTTGAATTTTTGTGCCTTTGACTCAGTGTTGATTTTTGGAGACTGCCTTACTAGTCCTTGCAGTTTTCTTGACAAGATTTTCAGAAACAGCTAAAGGACCTGCCTCACATCCACTCTATAACCTAGTTCCAAATAAATGATTTTGCATATGTGCTGCCTATATGTCCCATAATCCAGGATATTATGTTCATTAAATGATGAAAAGCTATGCTATTGCATTTGTTTGCTGGTCACTTCATCTGTAGGTTTTGAGCTGGACAAACTTTTTTTATGAACTGTCCAGAGACAATTCAGCAGAAGCTAGATATAATATTTGATCTTATTGACTATATTCTGAGCCCAGCAGCACAAGAATTGCAATTGTTCAGAGTAAAACCACCACTGAAACTTGGGCACTCATAAATACTTCAGCTGAGTGGTTTTTTTGTTAAAGTTCACCCCACCATTCCAGCAAATGATGCTCAAGATTGCACATAGTGAAATGCAAATACTACCATAGCAGTGGTCGGACGCAAGGGTGGCTCCTCTAACATCTCTCTCTAACTCTGCCTTGTCTGCCACCTCCCTTCTTCCCTTAGATCCTGTTAGTAGCAGTCTGGCTCAGTCAGTCATGTCTATGGCCTCCTCCCAAAGTCAGCACTCCGAAATCAGCACAGATACCATGTCTTCCATGTCAGGTTCCTATGTAGCCCCCGGCACTGAAGAAGATGGAGACATGGCTGCATCCCCTGCTGTTGTCAGTGAGGTACCTTCAGAAGGAGATGTAAGTAGATCAAACTCCAGACCAATCAAGGGACAAGTAGCAGAAGCTGCAATACAGAGGGATGAAAAATTACCCCCTGATTTGATGCAAGCAAATTTATTCAGGCAAATTACTTTATATAATGCTTGTCACTTTTAAAAGAAATCCCCACATAGTGGTTTGTTTATTTTTTTAAATAGTCCAGTACATGTTCTGAATGGAGCTTGAGTGGACACATCTAACATTCAAGACAGTTGCCAAAAAGGTGTCTGTAGCCACCATGACATTGTCCTGGGAACAACAGAAACTGATTCCTGGCAAATCTTCTCCATATCTTTTCAAATGCCTCCTTTTCATTCAGGGAGGAAGTAAAGAAGTAAATTAGCATTTCAGAAAGACAAACCATGTTTGGTTATGTTTGGGTTAGTACTACTGATGTGATTTGGCAGATGGTATTTTGTCCTTATAGGATACTTGCCCATCAACATTTTTCAGTTTTCTCTTCTCTTTTCTTAGTCAACCCCAGTTGAGTCTCCTGATGGAAATTTTGTCAGTATCTCAGCAGAGGAACGAGATGCAGAGGTAAAGTTCTATATGTGAAAGCTTGTTTAACAAGGAAAGTGAGGTCTGTCTCTGAGCCATAGTTTTTATTTGTATGCAAAATCTTTTTCAACAACATCCTACAAGGCAAAACACAAAGCAAATGGAAACAATGGGGCAAAGTAAAACAGTAAAGTCCAAAAATGTAGATTAGATAGCTAGGAATCATTCTTAGGACTAGAAGCCAGAAGTCTAATGGTATTCCAGGTTAAAGCATTGAAAAGTTGATATAAGAAATGGGAGTCATTCACAGAACAATAAGATGCAGGAAATTCTCACTCAGGCATTCTCAATTTCATTTCTCCAAATATGTTATGACCATGATTCTGAGATTTCCCAGGTAGCAAGTACATTATTCATACTGATTTTAAATTCTGGAAGTTGTAATCTCAATTCCTTTGGAAAAAGTACATAGTATCCCACCAGAGATCCAGATGGCCCCTGCTAGCTTTTTGTTAGGCACTAAAGATTTGGCTGTTCCCTGAGGAACAGGGAACTGGGCTGGGAAGTTGTGAATTCTGCTGGCTAGTTACTTGTAATTGTTCTGGGAAATGATTTTTACCATCTTGGTCATTTGGATTGTTGAAGTAAGTTTTTTGTTTTTAATTTTTATATGCTGCTCAGAGTTGTAGGATGGGCAGCCATATAAATTGTGTATATAAATTAGGAAGCAAGCAACCAAACAAGCTAGTTTGGAGAAAACCGATATACTTAGACTAGATTACTGTAGCTAAAATGGTTAGCTGAGTCTATTATAGAAGCATAGAAAACTGATGGCAGAAAAAGACCAAGTCCGCTCTTTGAGCTTGTTTATTTTCTTTTCTTTTCATTATTTATTCTTTTTATATTTTATTCATATAAACAAGCAAAATAATTTCTTGTATGTGGGTGTTTAATTGAACTGTTCCTTTTGGCCTAGTCTAAATTACTGCAATGCACTTCTAAAAATTTACCTTGTGCTTTGTGCAAAAAAAAAAAAAAAAAAAGAGTGACTATCTACAGGTCAGCATTCAGATCTGTGATTCCAAACTTTATAATTTGGAATTGTACATCTGACTCAGAAAATGTCAGTTCTATATGCTTTTTAAAGCAAGCGCTTGCAAAAGGATTAGCCAGATTATAGCTTCCCCAATCACCTTCGGAGGACATTTGGTTAGGATTTACCCAGTTCTGAACTTTTATGTGTGTGTGTGTGTGAGAGAGGGAGAGAACGAGAGAGAGGGAGGGAGGGAGGGAAATAGAGGGGAGGGAGGGAGAGAGTCGGGGAGGGAGGGAGAGAAAAAGGGGGGAGAAGGAGGGAGAAGGAGAGAGAGAAAGAGAGAGGAAGAGAGATTGTGTGTGGTTCTGTATGCAGGTATGTAATTAATATATCTATACAGGTAATATTCCTGTGGGAATATTAATATCATCCTTACTACATGATGAGTCATTGATTTGTATATTCACACCTTATCTTTTTTTTTTTTTTTTTGGCAGGGGAATGATGTCATGGAAGAAGAGGATGTCTCTCCCACACAGGAAGATGGTAACACAGAATACAGCATTGCTTCATGCCCCATGTTGGTTCTCTTTCACATCTAGCACAGCCAGGGAAAGAGAAAAAAGATGAGGCACATTTTCATGAGGAAAGAGCATAGCTCAGCCACATTGCATTGGGGCAAGCTCAGTTTGCTAACTGAATTGCTATAGTTTGAAGCGAAAGGCCTTTCTTAAATGAGCAGGTAGAAGAAATTTGAAAACATGGAAAATTTAGAGTTCTGCCAGTTCTCCTTGTTTATTTTCATGAAAAATGGGCAGAAACAACTGGCAATAGGTCAGCAAATTATTTTTGACCCCGATTGTCTGAAAGTTACAACGGTTGGAATAATATCCCCATTCAACATTTCATTGCTGGAAAAAAAAATACTTGGAGAGGAATCGGAGCTAAATTTTTGTTTTGTTTTGGTTGACAGGACTTTTATTAGTTTGAGAACCAAGTTCCAGATTCCTGAACATAATGCTCAGAGTTCTGCAATTCTGACTATATGTCTACTTGAGTTAAAAAAAAAAATTGTATCTGGCTGGCAAGACAGTCTATTAAAATGAAAAACTGTAATCCTGAAACATATCACTGATTTTAATATTTATTATTTCACAGTGGGATGTAATTTTCATTCCCTACATTCCCAATTAAAAAGTAAATAAAAAGGCAGTTCGTCCCCTGGGAAACCAAGGAGTTTGATATTTTAATATATTTATGATCTCTTGACATTGAATGATTTCATGTATTCCATAGTTAAAATTTAGAGATACAGTCAGATCAGGGGCCAAAAGTCAATGAATTGGTGTCATTAACGAGAGAAAGACACTCATTTAGCTCATTTCCCTTTTTCCAGGGAGCAAACTGAAGTGTTACAAAGTCTCAGCTTGCTCTTTTGAAATTAAATGACTAAATTCTCAGATTTTCTTGAGACTACTTAAAAGTTGGGAAAGTTATTGTTGCTGTTAATATTCTTAAAAATAATTTTGTGTTTCCTTTTGAGGCAATCCCCTCTACATGTTTCAGCTTTGGTTTCATTCTGCAGTCTAAATTAGATCTGAATATTAACGAGAAAAACTCGTTATTTAGTTATCTAAATTCTTATGAAGGTAAATCATATTAAAATAAATTCTATGGTTGATTAGATCACTGTTCATTGTCAGCAAAGTCAGAAATGCTTCACATTGATGAATATTATCAGGCAGTATACAAATGGGAATTCCCCTTTTTATTTTTTAAGCATAGATTTGGTTTTATTTTTAAAATTTGTCCAAACCTTGCAACAACAATGGTGTACAAAAATAGACCCTTACCATGAGTTTTATTTTTCTCCTGGCATCTTGCCCAGAATAATGAAACCCATAGCTTTGGGGACGATGCTGTGATTTCTCAGAGCCCATTGAACAAACCTTCCTGGAGAAGGGGTTGTATCCTATCTGGCTCTACCATCTTGTCACAACGAAATCAAGTTTCTACTGGGTTTTGATTGCTCAGAATATTCCATAGATGCCAGCCAGAGACAACCTAAATCACAAAATTGGTGCTTTCCTTGAACTTTCTCTGGTGCTATGACTGGTTTATTTGATACTTTACATACAAGATCAAATATCTCCCTATGTGCCATTTATATTTCCATATTGGCAAGGATAGCCTTGAAACAGGAAGTGAAAATGGAGGTGGTGGAGGAAACCAGCCACAATAGCTTTTGGCCGCTGCATCCCCATCTCTTATTGTCCACTCTCTACCTTAGTCCCCCTTGACCTGAGGTCTTCCAGATATGTAGAGATTTCAGTCCTCAGAATTCCCAACTAGTGGAGACTGTAATTGGGAATTTGGGGATTTGAAATTTCAACAGACCTGGAGGTAGCAGGTTGGAGAAGGCTGCTCTACCTTTTTGGCCACTGTTGAGGTTTTCTTCATTTCTGAAGTGTGTGATGTTTTCTGCTACCTTAAAGAGGAGCAGAATTAAACCAAAGCCTCACCCCCTCTCTAACTGCATTAACTCCTTTGCAGGCCAAAGGACAGGCGCATACCTAGGTATGGAGTGTGACAATAACAATGACATTGGCAACGCAAGCGTGAAAGTTCTGGACAATAAGGTGTGCACTGAGGCCCGCTTACCTGGTGAGTGGCTGTCTGCTGAACATGAACTTTGAAGGGAGGTGGGAGGACAGTTTCTTATATATCCCTCCTCTGCTTTAAATCCCGCCACCACCTGAGAGCTGTCAGCCATTAATCACAGTATATACCTATTAGAGTCATAACAGTGTAGAGAAGTGGATAGGAAGGAGAATGCTATTTTGTGTGGCATCTTCCTGATACTTAAAACCGCTCTCTCTTGTCTCCCTCCCCTGCCCACCTCTGCCTATGTCACGCCTAGATCATAGAGATAAAGGTCAAATTTCCTAAATATAAAGCAAATTTCTAAGGTGGCTTTCTTCAATGAATGCTGATAATTGCAGTTTCAGTACCTTCTAGGAAACTGCTTAGAATACCTTAAGCCTTCAGTCTATAATCTTTGCAGACTGTGGGAGCCGTGTTTAACATAAATTGCATCATTGGTGGTATCCTTTTTTACTTCCTGCTGTTTGCCTTCCTACATTTCTTTTCCCCTTGCCCTGCTTCCCCCCCCCCCCTCACCCTTTTCACAATCATTCCTCTCTCTTAAACTTATTTAAATTCAAGAAAATAAAAAGGGTGATACTAGCGGCACAGCCGGTTTTGGATTGGGCTATAAACTACCCAATCTCAGTTTGCCTGGGACTTTCACACAGTTACAGTTTTTGGAGTACTTTGGAAGGAAGCCACAAATTTGGAAGCAATTTAAGTGTGTAGTTTGAAGATGATTACACCCATTTGCTATAAGAAATAGGTTGAATAGTTAGATATGAGCCCAAGCCTGATCAAAGTCAAGATTCTTCCCAACAAGAGTTAAAGGCTAAAGGTTAAAGTATAAGAAGCAACATCTATCAAGGTCTATAGAAATAGAAGACAAAGTCTTCTGCAGGCAGATAGTTCCAGTGGGTAGAAAAGTGGGTAGAACCTTCTTGGGTTCTTATTCTAGAAGATCTAGTTCAGCTTTCCCATCCTGGGATCCTTTGGAAGCAATTTCAGTTCCAGTAATCCCCAGACCATAACCATGCCAGCTATGGAATTATAGCTGAAAGGAAGGGAAATCCATTTCATAGTGTCTATTTCATTCATTCAGTCAATGAAATGACCAATTCTTAATTTCCTAGCATAATAAGAACTGATTACTGCCACCTCCCCGGCTTATTTTATGTCTGTCTAGATGTCCTTAGATTTCTTTTTATCCTTACACATAGGAAGTTCAATAATGACAGATAATGAGCAGGCATGAGCATAATTTCCTCAGAGACATCTTTTGTATCCTTTGGTGAAGCCCCAACTCATAACCCCAACTTTAGTTGGTTACTAATTCTGGGTATGTTTTGTTTCTTCTCTTTCCTCTTTCATCAATCTTTTTTCCCCCACTGGATTTCATCAGTGTGAAAGTTCATGTTCACTCTGTGCCAACACAGTACCAGTTTTTCTTTTTCCTTAGCCCATGCTCCCATCCCTTCATTTTCTTTATGTTGTTGAATGGTTATAAACTTTACTGACTGTCCTTTTATGGGTCTGGAAGAAACTGAAATGTGGATTGAATTGATATGTTAACAATGCCACTGTCAAGGACTGCTTAGATTTTTTTTTCTTTTTTTTTTTAAAGCATTTTTGATTTTTAACACTGCCCAATTTTGCATTTGTAACTTTTTTAGATTTCAGTTAGATAAATATACCACACTTTCTTTGGTGTGTACCTCACAATTTTAAAATAGAAGTGCACCAGACCCTTTCCATCAGGTCAGTAAAATTGCCATCATTTCAAAAACCATGGCAACCTATTCCTTGCTCATTTCACCTTTCCCAAAGTTTCAAGGTTGCCTCTTTCTTGGTTGGTATAATAATTCAATGTGGTTGAAAGGAGTGCTTTCTTCAGCCTTGATTTCCTTACATAGCTACAAGCAAGCTAAATCTCTTTTCCTATTGTCATCTTGTCTCTCTTCCTAATTTATTCCATTTGGGAAACTTTGTGGGTAATCCAGGCTTTGCTGTGCCAACTACATATGTGCCCACTGATAAGAGACCTGCAACAATAGTAACAATATCATCTTTCTGCTAGAGCAGGAATCATTTAAACAGAGGCATATGCAAGGTCATTTCAATTTCAAGATGAAAAAAAGATGTTCTGTGGAATATTACCTGTATAGATATATTAATTACATACCTGCATACAGAACCACACACATTCTCCCTCCCTCTTTCTCTCCCTCCTCCCCAGCTCTCTGCCTCTCTCCCTCCTTCTCTCCCCTCTATTTCCCTCCCTCTTTCTCTCCCTCCCTCCCTCTTTCACCCACACACACACACGTAAAAGTTCAGAACTGTTCCTAACCAAATGTCATGGTAAATACAATTTAATATGAACTCATGACCCTTCCTGTTGTAATCTTTTAAAATGGTTGTAATCCTGCTTGAGTTGCACAGATAGTTGAACAGCTTAATATCAGCTATTAATTATCAGTAATAAAGTACTTGGCTTTTCAAAGACTGTCTCCGAACCAAATTTGCTGGGAAACAGATGGGGGAAAAATGCTTATTACAGTTTTCTAAAGGTCTTGAAGAGGCCAAGAGAAATCTGGAAGCTAGAGGGAAAAGTGCATCTTATTTTGTGCTTCTTTTCCTTTTTATTCAATAAGATCACCAGATTAGATACTTTCAATTTTAACTTCCCAAGATGAGAACTATATACTAGACGTACTAGATAATTCCTCTGAAATAAAATTTGAAATACTTAACCATGGTCTACAAAAGAAGGGATGAAAAACAGTGATCAGTAAGCTCATAAATCTGTTTCACAAAAAATATGGCACTTGGATCCATGCCAAGCTTGCCAACCATCACATTGAACAAATAAGGATGGAGAGCAACAGCTTGTCCCTTTGTTTTGAGCAAACTGATTAAAAGAAGCAATTGTGCTTTCAACTGGAGGAAAAGGGAATTCTTGAATATGAACAAACCTTCAAAACAGCATTTTAGAAAATCCTATCTTTGTCAAAATTTAAAGAAGAATCCTTATCTAATTGCAGGTAGTCCTCGATTTACAACCACAATTGAGCCCAGAATTTATGTTGCTAAATGAGAAATTTGTTGAGTGAGTTTTGTCCAACTTTACCACTTTCCTTGCCACATTTGTTAAGTGAATCACTGTAGTTATTAAATTAGTAACACGGTTGTTAAATGAATCCGGTTTCCCCCATTGACTTTGCTTGTCAGAAGTTCGCAAAACATGGTCACATGATCCTGGGACACTGCAACCGTCATAAATATGAACCTGTTGTCAAGCATTTGAATGTAAATTATGAAACCACAGAGATACTGCAACGGTTATAAGTGTGAAAAATGGTCATAAAGTTACTTTTTTCAGTGCTGTTTGTAACTTCAAACTGTCACTAAATGAACCTTTGTAAGTCGAGGACTATCTGTAAGTAATTTAATTACTTCAATCTACAATTTTTGATAAATATTCTTAACACTGAGGGCTCCCCCCCTCCCCCAAACAAAAGCCCAAAACAAGATCACTGACAATAATCAGAAATGCCAAACAAGACACTCTGGGTGTTTTCTGAGACAGTGGGAGTATTAGGAGAAATCACCTGGTTGGCATCAACTTTTTATTCATTTTCTCCATGCTCTCTGCCTTGTGCGTGACCAACTGAATATACTGGGTGCATGTTTCCATCAAATACTACGGAGCCCTTCTCTCCTCAGAGATCCCTAGAAATGAGGAAGTGGTTGCAGGAGTTTTCTGAAGAACATGCAATAGAATTTCCTTATTCCTTTGCACAGTTAGTCAGAGCTTGAAATATGACCTTAACTTGGGAATTGTAGCGGATAAGGATCATGTCCATCTCTCCTAGTGTCCAGGCTGTATCTGTAGGCACTTCAGACATTCCTTCTGCAGTATCACCTGAAGTATTTATGGTGATTCAAAAAAAGGAAGGCTCGGACCTTGGGACCTTGTGGAATAAATTTAATAACAACTCTGCTGCCACAAGATGCGGCTTCAGTTTTTCTGGCTTGCATACCTTTGGGTGGCTTTGCTGCTTGCAAGATTCTTCTGCTGATCCCTTCCCCTCACTGTTTGTGTACGGAGCCAAATGTTCTGCCCCACCTTGCCGCCTGCTGACTAACTCTGAGTCTTTGAGCAAAGCCATGCTGCTTCTTCACAGCTGCTCGAGAAACAACATGGACTTGCCTCAGTGTCACAGAAGTGCACTCAAGCAGAACTTAGAATGGCTTTCTGATCTGCTGTGCAGAGATGCATGTGGCTTTAAGCCCTTTAGCATGTAGAGTTTGAAGTTGGTTGGGCTGATCTGTTGGCAAAGGAGAGGTTCTGAAGTTGTCCTTGAGTTTCCCTCACACTCCATTTTCTTCACTCCGAAGTTTGAACTCCTATTCCAGTTAACATCTTCTGGGTAAACTTCACGCCTTGGCTTATGGGTCTTTTAGTCTCTGGATCCTCTTCTCTTTTTTTTTAAGAGCAGATAAAGGTAAGTGCTGCTGATCCACATTCCAAGTAGAATGGTGGAGATAGGAAGGCCCGCTTAGAAAGAAGATGCATGGGAAGAAAAGAACCACTTCTGTCTCAGGTGTACATGTTATAGAACAAAATACATAAGCATATATGATAGTGGGTGGAAGTTGCTATATATGTGTGAAGTTTACAAGACCTATTTAATTCTCAGGTTCCCCATCTTTGAATATCTGAATGAAAAAATAGCACAAAGAGGATCCTTAATGGCAGTTTGCAAAGTGGTTTTTATTGAAAGTGAAATGTTTTAGTGCCACAAGTAGCTACCAATCCAGCAGTTTTAATTAAACAAGGATGAATGAATGCTGTATTCATGTACTAATTAACTATGTGGTCATTTCAAGCATTAACTTTGCTTTCCTGAGTCATTATCTCCCAGCCACAAGTATATGAACCTTGTGGGATTTTGCACTGATCTCTGAGATGTAACATGTTCAAAAGCCTTTTCACATGATACCTTATTAAGGTGTATTACTTTCTTTTGTATCTGAAGCAAGTCTGTGTTTTACAGTAATGACAGAGAGACATTCTAGTCATTACTTCATAGCATAAATTTAAACAAGTGTGTAACAAAAGCAAAAAAGTTAGTTTTTTAAACCTTGGTAATGTTTTCAGTTTTGTGCTTTTACTGTGGGATAGTGTGCACATTTCTGTTGAATATGGGATAATTTAATTAAAAATGCTGAGAAGGTTAGGCAGAGGTTTAGGACCCATGGCTTCTGTGTTTCAATTTTTCAGCTTAGCCCTTAACTAGAGAGAAAGTAGTCTGGCCCATTCTATATAACTATCTCCACTTCTTCATGACACATCCCATACATTCCAGTGAATTCTTGCTACAGAATGGATCACAATGTTTTCTAGTAACATAAAGAACTGGCAAAGACCAGGCTACAGTACTAAAGTAGGAATCTTTCACGTGGAGTTACCACCTTCAAGTTTAGGAAGGCAAAACAATCCAGGCATGAATTCTGCTGAAACAAATTTGAATTTGGTGCTTCCAATATTAGCAGGAATACCATGGGTACAATGGTCAAGGGTCCTTCACCCCTGTTTTGAAAACGGGTTTTTTGAAATACATGAAGAGCCTTTTACAAGAAGGTGGATGCTGCTTATTTTTTGTAGCACATCCTGGATTGACCCAAGTGTCTGTGTGACTACAGGGTCATTCAAGGAAGTACTGAGAAGCAGCCACTCTAGACACGGAGGAGGCATTTTTGCTGGTAGAAAAAAAAGAAAAAAACCAAGAATCCATCTGAATGTTATACATTTTCAAAAAGATAGGGCTAAATCTCTTGCCCTCTTTGGGTAAATGGAATGGCCTTTTTTATCCCCCTCCTGTATTTTTTAAAAATAAAATCCGAACACAAATATGCTCTGAAAAATGGACAGTAAAGCAGATTGGATTTATATTGATTGGCACATTCCCAAATTGGAATGTTATCACCCAGAGTCATCGTGCAAACATTCTTTAAAAGTTATTTGGGGGGGGGCAATAAATGTAATGCAGGAAGCTTTTGTTGTTTCATTCTCTTTCCCTCTCTCTTCTTGACCCCCCATCCCATTGCATGTCTGTGCATTTGTGTGGTCTGTCTTTTCTCTGGTTTACCATTTGCTTTTGGTCTTTCTTTTTTACTGAACAGCTGCAGCTCCGGAATCCTGTCCCATAAACATTGAGGAATAGGTATGAGATACATAAAGTCCTTTGTTGCTCACACCTGGAAAACATTACAACTCTCATTCTGCAATATAGGGTTCTTTCTCTTTTTAAGACTTCTTTTCACAGGCACAGCCTTTTGAAGAAAAAAAAAAAAGTCATTTCTCTCCCGGGTCAAGCAGTTCCTTTTATCACTTGGATAGAAATATGCCTAGAGAACCCTCATTGTATTCAGTGATGTAAAGAATGTAGGAAAAGGAATATAGGAACCGCTGCTGTTTGGGCTCATAGCCATGATCCAAAAGCCAGTAGAACAGAGTTAGTTAAGGTCTCAGTCGAATGTTAACTTTCAAACCACACTTGCTTTAGATATCAGTCTACTTTAGATCCTTATGATAGATTACTTTTCTGTATAAGGGAAATAAGCCATCGCCAAACCCAAAGGATTAGGAGAAGACATCTCAGCTGTGCAAGGAAACCATTTTTCAGGACAGTCCTGACTTTATTTTACCGAGAAGTTACTGCTGCCTACCCAAAAGAGCTGGCTCAGGAAGCTGCACATTTTGCAAATAAAAAGAAATGCAGACTGAAGAAAGAGACATATCCATGTAAGTAAGGTGGCAGATGAAAATCTAAACTTATTATCAAAGCGTTCACTGTTACAGTTTGTCCCAAAGTTAAAAGGGACATTTAGAAGATCTGCCTGGTGGATTGTTCAGCCACATGGAATGAGAAGGAGGAAAATGGAATCAAAATTGACCAAAGGGAAGGTGATTATGTCATTATGTTTTTACTTATCTAAAACATGGGTAGGTTTAAAGGAGCATTAGAATGAACCCATAATGTGCATTAAAGAACTTTCTTCTGGCCATGTCAAGAATTTCCCAAATAGAATACATTGGAAGGGAGATGGCTAAAAAACATGCAAGCAAATAGGAATCTGGAGACTTTGAGACTGGGAATATATAGCACCGACTGTCAAAAAAGCATTCTGCAGGCCTTCCTCCTGCCCCCACTGTTTTTTTTTTTTTTGTGTGTGTGTTTTTTTTTGGTGATGGTGAGAACACACAGGAGCATAAAAAACATAAAGTAATATTGAAAGTACCATCAGACAATAGTCTTTTTGCACCAATAATTTACTGGATGAAACAAAATAATTACCCAACAAAACAGCATTACAGAAAATTGAATTTGGAAAAATAAGACATGGATGAGATTTGTCACAAATCCAGTCTATTTACATTCTAGATTAGGAATGGGCAAAGAAGAAGTAGCAGTATGGCTATACATTACTTTTAGGATTAGGTATTGTTTACCTCTGGATAAAGCAGCTCAGAAAAAGCAGTGGACTTCTGCAAGAATTATAGAAGACATCAGATTGACTAAACTTGGTTTGGCCAGGTTACTTTTTGCAATTCTTTATGTGTTCTTAGCTGGCTCTCCTCAGTGTAACGTGATTTAGTTTTTAATTTTCAGAATTTGATAGTTGCACATTACTTGACTGTAATATGGTATCTACTTGGTTGACCACTTCTTGACAACTCCTTTTAAGCATTTTTTCCCCTAGAAGGCTTTGTTGGTATTCATCTCCTTATCCTCAGTCTTCCTTGTCATTAAGCATTGCATCAGTTGCCAGGAATCCATATAACTTAAAATTCTTACAAGTAGTGTTGCTGGTGTATAGGTATATTTTCCAGGTATATTCTTTAATTGAAAGAATGTTTATATACTGTACATCAGAGATCAAAATTAAAAAACAAAAATTTAAATCCATGGTTGAGTGTAATGGCCATACTTTTATGTTGCAATAAATGTATTTTCTGAAGTGTGTGAGACCGAAAACATTTTTGCAGAAATGTCTCTTTATTATTACATGAAGAACATAGCTTTGGGGGATAAAAATTGAATACCTCAAACATAAACTAACACACACAGAAGACAACCTTAGTTGCTTCTTCTATTCAGTGAAGAGCCAAATTTATATCTTGCAGTGTGTAACCCTGGGTTTTAGTCAAACCAAATTGTGTAAACAATTTTTTATATATTATGTCAGTAGCAAAATAGCTATCACAAGGTTAACAGCAGTCATTTTTGTGCTTAAGGTATCTCAGGTTCATGTTCTTGCAGAAAATGTTGGCTGTTTTATTATAAAATTCTCAAGTATTGTCTATCTGCTATTGTGTAAATTGGTATAAAGCTATACAGTTGCTGCTGTGCTCTTTTTATTGTTGGGCTATTCAGCAAGCTCAGCTTTCCCCAACTGGTATCATCTCAATATGATAGAGATACAGCTCCCCACATTCCAAGCCAGTATCCTGGTAATCCTTGGTGGAAATCCTAGAAGTTGTGATTCCATCTTGAGAAGTCTAAATTGGAAAGGGCTAAGTTAGTGAGTCCTATCAAGGATTTGCAACAGTATTCCTCTTCTCCAAAGCAGAAGCAAAGTTCTACCTCTTAGGAATGGCTGCAGCAAATGAGATTTAATCAGAATGGGACTAAATACTTTCACACCTATTTTGTTTAGAAACACTGCATACAGGATATTTTGGCATGAATATTTGCAAGCACTTTGTCTTCTTTGGAATAATAGCAGCTTCCACTTTCACATCTAATGACTACTCAGTATTAGTTAAATAACCCGTATAACCTATAGCAAAGTTCCTACAACCAGCTATTTTATGTTGGTGTATCTGTCAATATGTCTTGGTAAACATGACCAAGTAGAAGGCTCGAAAGCATGTTTTAGCTTTCTTTTTTAGCTTTCTTTTTCTGTTTAGCTTTCTTTTTTAAAATGGAAAATTAGCAGTTGGTCTGACAACACTTCAAGTGGTAGCAAAATATAAATGTGCCTTTTAAAAAGCATTTGATTTAATAGAATGTTTTGTAATAAATGCCAACATAAGAAGGGGAATGTAGAATCCTAGGAAAGCCTAAGTCAAGTTATATCAGCAATGTAATATTTTACAGAGTGATAGTAATCTTACTGATAATAGTAAATAATGTAATTGACCTGATACCTGTTGAGATTTAAGGTGCAAATATGGATATTGCCTCCTCTGGAATGCTGATATGCTATTTCTGAACTTGGCTGAGTTCACATCCACAATATTGTCCACTGTTTTCTTTGTCATAGATCTTTCAACATCAGCTGACAACTCTCCGAACCACGGCCAAATGCTGAGACACCCCTTCTCTGATAAGGCTGATCTGGAGTTTGCTGAAGATTTGCAGTGTATGTTGAGACCTCTGTGTCCTCGATACCACCAAAAAAAAAAAAAAATTAATACTAAACATAACAAAGAAGAGCAGCAAAGCCGTGGGTACAAACATCATCAAGTACTGCAGATCATATAACACCTATTTTAAATAGATACATAATACTAAGTATTCAAAAAAATCACTAACTCAGTGGTTTGTGGTGGTGGTTTGTGTTAAAATGAACTTGTGGAGAGGGTGGATGAATGAGCTCGAATGAGCTTGAGATGGATTTGGTGATTGGTACCTCCATAAATTTTCTCTCCCCTCCTATTTTTATCTTGCCAACTCAACCTGCTTTGTAATCATCGTTTCCTTTTATGCTTTTAATCTAACACTTGTTTGGGGATTGTCATAACACTGGGTTCCTTCTGCTAGCTATGAATTAATGCCAGGTTATTTGTTAGTTCTTAGCATGTACATACTGAATGTGTGATTGTGAAAACGTAATGTATGCGGAAACAAATTCACACCTCCAAACCTATGCATTTGAAGAGCACCGTGTCTTCACCTGGAGTGATAAAACGCATTTGATATCACCTAATGCCTGCTGACTTGAGAAGAAACGTAATGATCTGCCTTTTTATCTATTCCAGTTTCATCCTGTAGCCTTTTAGTTACCCTTCAAACATGCTCAGTTCTGAGCCACATATAAGGGATTAATGCCAAAGATCTAATATCAGTTATAGATTATTCAAGATCTGGGCTGAATTGTGGGATGTAACACAGAGAGGCAATGCTGTTTCAGGGGAATTAACACGCCTAGTACCAACAGTACTTTGGTAAAGAAATAAGTAGTGTCTAGCAGTTCTCTCCAAGTGGACAGATAAGTAGTGTAGCTAGCTCTAATTGAAACTTTTCAGCAGGGAGATTTCTCTGTGAAAATTCACACAGATGTCCCTCCCCTTGAGCAAAATGAAATGAACTAACTGTATGTGAAAGTGTGGCTGGGGAAAACAAAAAGAACTGGCATAAAATAGCAATTTGCTATTTCAGATATATTAAATGCATTATTTGTATGGTGATGTCACTTGAATTACACGCATGTTGTTGAAGTCTGTTTATATGGGTAAAAACCCTTTAAATATGTCTTTCATTACGCATTTGTTAATTATCATGTTAACATATTTCCCTTGGTGACGAGTATATGAAAATCATACCAAAGCAGCAATGTGATTTCTTTTACACTGAAAAACAATTATTTGCTTGTTCATGTAATGATCATGCTGCAATTCGCTTTCCTCCCTCCCCAACATATTATTAGCAATCGGGTGAATCTCCAGTATCTTGGGGCTGACCGTTTTTGAATATATGCATTAAAACTAATGGAAGTTTTACAGTTTTTGAGATATGATCTCTACTGGATTACTGATGGCATTCAGTGGACTGGACTACTATGGAAATAAATGGCATTCAAGCAATTTTTGAAGACATGGCGAGAACAAAACTACTAACTGTAGATGTTTAGGGTTCTCCCCCCCTCCCCTTTTAAAGCTGCTTTACCAGTCTTTGGGTGCCATCCTATTGGAGATTAACCATAAAATAACCATGAAGTCCTACAGCTGGACAATCTAGTTCCATTAATAATTCAATGAGAAGGATTCATTTATAATTTCCATAGGAGTAATGGTGGTGGAATGCTTCATTTTACCTTGAATCCTTGCTTCTTAGGTCTTCGTTAATAAGCTATAGTAACTGACAATTCTTCACAGAGACCTAGAGTTATTTTCCAGGAGAGACTTTCTGGATGATGATCTTGTGTAGCCTCCAAGGGAAGAAGACAAAGTACACCTCCTCACATTCTGCATCATTCCTCATCCCCTTTTCAAGGTTAAAAATGCAAATCTGCTCAGGTACTATCATACCTTACTTTGTGTAGTCACATAAGAACAAATGTGTGCATTGCTACATAGATAGCATTTCCACTGCATCCTTGGATGACTTAATGAAAAATACCTACCGAATTTAAATACATATTAACTAAACAATAAAAAAAGGAAAAAATGGTAAAAGTAAACAAAATGCAAAACTACTCCGCTCTTATTTTGACTAAATCTTCTCTAACAAGGAGATGTTACAAAAGCAATTGGGAAGAACAGAATAAAGTGACAGGATTGAGGTTTGAGAGCAAAAGAAACATGGTCAGGAAGTACTTGTTTATTTTTGAATAAGAAAATTAATTCAATATCAATTGGATTTTATCCTTGGATACCAAAGGAACTGGTTGACAATGCTGCATGATCTTTGAAAAATCTTGGAGATCAGGGAATGTGCAATGCAGAGGAGGATAAATGTTTTCCTCTTCAAAAAAGGGAAGAAGAAGGATCCAGAGGAACTAGAGGTCAATCTAATATCAGTATCTGAGAAGATTCTACAACAGATTGTAAAATGGTTGATCTAGTAATTACCTTGTTTTCAATATGCTTACAGAAGCCAGCTTGGATTTGTCAAGAAGTCTAATTTAGCAACCTTAGCAACAGGATGAAATGCCACAGATGAAATTCAGTATTCTTTATTTCAGCAAAGAATTTGAAAGAAATACCCCATGACATTCTGATTAGCCAACTGGTTATTTGTGGATATAATTGTATAATAAGTAAACAGTTGATTTTAAAATTATATTTAAGAATATCCATCGACTATTCCATATCAAATCAAATGAACTTTTGTAAATGACTGGAATGAGAAGTAGAAATCTGATTAGAATTCTTTATTAGCCAAGTGTGATTGGACACATGATGCTTCTCAGATTTACTGACAACACCTTCAAAGCTAGAAATAAGGCTTAGAACAATCTTGACAGGTTACAGAAATGGATAAAAAATAATAGATAATAATAATAGATAATAATAATAAAAATAATGGATCAAAATAATAAAATGAAATTTAATATATGTGCAAAGTTGTATAGGAATCAAATCAGTTGTACAGGTATACAATGAATATCTAACTAGACAGAAAGATTTTGACATACGGTAGTTGCCAAAAATTTTAATCAGCAGGTGGCGTTGCTACAAAAATGGCAAAATAAAATTTGGATTTTATGTTAAGTATAAATATCAAATTGCAGGAAGTAATTGTTCCATTTTATTATAGTGAGATCTTATCTTGACTATCAATCCCAGTTCTTGATATAAAACATTAAAAATAATTAAAATAAAATGCAATAAGTTCAGAGAAAGCAATGAGAATGATGGGGAAGCTGGAAATGAAGACTTGTGAAAAGAGGGACTGAGAATGATTGACCTTGAGAACAGAAAACTAGGAGGAAAAGAGCATCTTCAAAGGCCCGAAAGGATGACCCAGAGAAGATCAAGTTCTGTTCTTTATCCTTTTAGAATACAGGACACGTAATTATGAACTTAAGGGAGGGTTCAATTGAATGTTAGGAAAAGCTTGAAAGAAATGGTGGGTTCCCCTTTACTGCATGTGTAAAGCGAATGCCAGACAGCTATCTGTTAAGAATCCTTGCACTGAGCTGGATTTGATAGACTAAATGGCCCCTCCTAGTTCTTTGACTTTATGAACAATATTGATAGTATTTTGAAAGTCTGACAACAGCAGTAACAACTAGCATAAAACCTTGGATAATTATGCTCAGCTTGAACAAGCTTGAGGGGCATTCAGAATAGAGCCCCATGAAGTGACTAAATGGATCTGGAGTCTTCACATGGTTTGGTGCAGCTGGTGAACACCCATAAAAGTATTTTGTCCTATGAGCATGACTTTGTCCAACTGTTCTCATTCTTCATTTAGAAAACTAGGCAAAAGTGCATTTCCTCGAGCTTATCTCACCTATTATGTCGTATGCCTGTAAAATATTCATATATTGAGACAATGCCTGCAATTAGGACAAATGTTAAAAGGGATCATGAGGTTGGTTTAGGCGATGTGTATATATTTTATTCTGTTCTCACCAATACTCTTGAAATGTGTGTGGTCCTAATGTTCCAGGCATCTCTCTATAAAGACTGTAATAATGGTAATTGAATGGCGGGGAAAGAAATGGCCCAGCAAGGGCATTCTAAAATGTAGCTTTCTCTTGTAGCCTTTTTCTCTCAGGGACGAAGGCCATGTTTCATGCACCCCTCCTAGCCAGTTTTTGTTTTTGTGAAAACAGAAATTGCCAGATGCAGAAAGTGGGAGCAGATAAGCAAGTGGAACCTCACTCAGGACTGCAGTTATATTTTGACTCTGGGCAATGAAGGATGAAGCCCTCTGGATACATTTGTGTGCACCTCAATGACAACGATGCAATATGTATTTAGGATTGCATGACTCTTTCAAAGAGTGAATAAAACTGTTTACAATGGAAAGAAAGCTGTTGAGTGAAATAGTCTGTTTTTAGGAGGGGGCAAGGAAAGTGTGTTACTTTCACATTCTTCAGTGCTTTATTTCTCACAGCTGCTCTTATAGCTGTGAAAAGACTCAAAGGTTTAAAGATTAATGTTAATCAGATGTATGTTGGGCTCAGGGTGTACTCTACTACTTCCTGTGTCATGTTTGAAACTCGCTGCCCTTTCTAGCCACACTATTTCATGTACTGAACATTCTCAAAGAAATGAAAAGTTCCAATAGCTATTGCAAGTCTATTAGCTTGTGCTCAGAAAGGAAATCCTGTTCATTGATTAATACAATATTTCAGGAAATTGTAGTTCAAAACACTCAAATGCTTAAGGTTTGGCAGGATTTCTGAGTTAGAAAGTTCTAAAAAAAAAAAAAAGAATCCAAAAGTCATTTAGGTTAAGATTCAGATCCAGAACAAACCACCACATCCTGAAAGATCTGCCAAACCATTTTGGGTTGATCACAGTTCATCAGAAACAAAATCCCAAAGACTTTGGTTCTGTGTTTCAGAAAGAAAACAAAAATTTAAATAACGTTGCAGGGCAAATACAACATGAGCCATATGTGTCAATGCTATCTCCCCACCTCCCTTAAGCACCTCCCACTATCGCAGTTTTTAGTAGCCTACACAGCCCTGATCTTCCCAGCACTTCCTTCTCTGCCATGCCTTGATAATTCCCGAATTTTTCCTACTCCTCCCCAGCCACAGCCAATATCCCAGTACCACATATACAATATTTTTCAGTCTATAAGACACACTGCCCCCCCCAAAAAAGTGGCTAGAAATATCTGTGCGTCTTATAGGGCAAATGTTGCTGATGTCCTGCCCACCAGCTGGCCCACACTTGCCAGCCGTTTTCTGCCTCTACATGCCCCGTTTTTGGCCTGTTCCAGGCTGGGATTGCCATCGCCTGGAACGGGACAAAAATGGGGCGTGTGGAGGCCGAAAATGGGGTGGGTGGAGGCCGAAAACGGGACTTGTGAAGGTGGTGATAGGTGGCAGTGATCTCCGCAGCCTGAAATAGCTGATCAGCGGTATTCCAGGAGGCCAATCCAACCGCCAATCAGCTGTTCGTGCTAAATCAGGCTGCAATAATGTGCTGAAGCTGACCAGGCTGTTTGCTGTTTGCTGCAAGGACACTAGCCAGATTAATACCGATGGATGCTGGGACGCAGAGGCAGATTTTTTATCTTGTTTCCTCCCCAAAAGCTAAGTGCTTCTTATGGTCCAAAGCGTCTTCAAAAAATACTACTTGCCCTATGCCCTATGCTTTTTCTTCTCCTTTACCACATGATCTCCAATATATTAGATGATCTCAGCAGTAAGAATCCCTGCCCAGTAGAGCATATTTCATTGGCCTACTTGCCCCATATTCTTTCCAACACTTTTTCTTCCTCCCCTCAGCTGCTGCTAGTCTTTTGGATTTTTACCCATCTTAACCCTCCCCCATGGCTGGACATGGAGCAACCAGATTTCAGCCTGAGTGAACTAGCTTTGTGTTGTTTTCTGTATAGACCAACATCCAAAACACATTTTGGTTCAGGCATACTGTAGATTGTTCTTCCATGTCAGGAGCAGTTCTTCCAGCGGTGAAATCTCCCTGGTTCTATCTGGCTCGCTGAACCAGTAGTGCCGGTGGCGGGAAGCTCCGCCCACCTGCTGGGATGTCATTATGTCCCGTTTTTTTACCATCTGTGCATGAAGAAGGTTCTATGCATGCGCAGAAGAGGCACGCACGCGCATAGCGCGCTCCCATTCTCAAACCGGTAATGAAGGTAAGCGGATTTCACCGCTGAGTTCTTCCCATGCGAGTAGTAAGAGACATGCTAGAATTTCTTGATGAGCTTTGATATAAAGGAGCACATTCAGAAGTATTAGGTATGCCCAATCAGAACAAAGTCCAGTTTAGTCCAGCATTTTGTTTCTTCACAATGGCTAACCAGATGACTCAGGAGTCCTTGCAAGGAGGAAAAAGATACATGCACACACAGATACACACACTGCAGTTCTTCCTTCGCAGGTGATATGTTTAAGCATGTCATCATCAGTCTTGAAGGAACATCAAATTTAAAGACCAAACGTCTTTGACAGATTATTTTGAATTTATCCAATCTCTTTTTAAAGCCATCCATGTTAATACCGGTAGCTATTACAACAATTTGACTAATAATTGCCACAAATTTTATATACCTCCCAATTTGTCTTTTCCCCCAAGCTAAAGAGTCCCAGTATTTTATTATTTTTTTTGTAGAGAAGACGTGCAACTAACTTGAGCATTTTGGTTGAATTCTTCTGTTTCTCTTTCAATTCTATTAATTGCTTTTTCAAACATGGTGACCAGACAGTATTCGGTAGTCCAGATGCAGGCATACAATGGATTTGTACATAAGCAGTCTAACGTTGGCATTTTTATTTGCAGTCCCTTTCAAAATAATCCGTAGGGAATAATTTGCTTTTTAACATGTAACATGACCACCAATTAACTCATATCTAACATTGGTCTGTCTGTTAACAATATTTTGGGACATAACTACACTCTTCCAAACAAGATATTGCCCAACACCAATTACTTTTCTTTCATGGTTTAGTTGAAAGGTTATTTTACCAACCATTGGATGTTATGTATCTGTAAGTTTTTGTTCGATTTCAGTTGAAGTAAAGCCTTTCTCTCTTGCATAGGTTTGTTTGTTCCAAATCTTTTCTCAGTGCCTAAGAAATCTGAATCCTTCCAACTGATATCAGTGCACAGATAGCAAGTAATCTGCTTCTCTTTAGGTTAAAACATGAAGAACAGTTGCTGGAATTGGGTATGTCTGGTTTAATGAAAAGAAGGACTAGGGGTGACATGATAGCAGGGTTCCAATATCTCAGGGGCTGCCACAAAGAAGAGGGAGTCAAGCTATTCTCCAAAGCATCTGAGGACAGGACAAGAAGAAGAACAAGATGGAAACTAATCAAGAAGAGAAGTAACCTAGAAATGAGAAATTTGCTGACAGTTAGAACAATTAATCAATAGAACAATTTGCCTCCAGAAGTTGTGAATGCTCCAACACTGGAATTTTTAAGAAGAGATTGAACAACCATTTGTCTGAAATGGTATAGGGCTTCCTGCCTGAACAAGGGGTTGGACTCTAAGACCTCCAAGGTCCCTTCCAACTCTTATTCTGTTATTCTTTACAATGGCTAGAAGATGAGGGAAGCATGACATGTTGTTGGGCAGGGATTTAAGATGGAGTTCTTCATCTTCAATGGAGTTGCTCCCAGTTGTACTGTGCAACTCATGTTCATATCATGTCAGTTATGACTTGGATAACAGTAAAGCCTCTAAAAAGTGGCATTGCCTTAAAGGAAATACAGGTAGCCTTTGAATTACAACCACAATTGAGCCCAAAATTTATGTTGCTAAATGAGACATTTGTTACGTGAGTTTTGTCCCATTTTATGAATTTTCTTGCCACATTTGTTAAGTGAATCACTGAAGTTGTTAAATTAGTAACATGGCTAAATGAATCTGGCTTCCCCACTGACTTTGCTTGTTGCAAAAGGTGAGCACATGATCCAGGACACTGTAAGTCTCATAAATATGAGTTGGCAAACATCTGAATTTTGATCATGTGACCATGGGGAATGCTGCAACAGTCATATTAAAAACTGTCATAAGTCACTTTTTTTAGTGCCATTATAACTGAATGGTCACTAAATGAACTGTTAAGTCAAGGACTACCTGCAATAAAAGTAGTAATGCACCAATGTGTAGGAACCAGTTAATGCAGAATGAAAATAACCCCTTTTGTAAGGAGAAGTAGCTTTCTGATATCTTTTATTTTGTAAAACAAATTGTGAATATGGAAATATTCGTAACGGCACCTGTTAACATAAGGCACCAGTAAATTATTTAGGAGATATAATAAGGCTTGAAAACCAGAAGAGGGCAGGCAAGAGCCAAATGTTGCTAGTCCAGAAAAAGCGGTTTGACTTACACAAAAGGCCCCAGAGACAAAAGTAAGCTTTTTAAAGATAAAAGATTGTGGGAGGGAGGAGATCATGTGATTTATTCAACAACTTTCATTCAAAATGGTACACACTTTCTGCATTTTCAAAATGAAAAGTTCCTTGTTGCTGGCACAATTGCACGGACATTCAAATGCAGGAGAGAAATACTGTATTAAGCCCTTTTTCCAATGTCCACTGGACTCTTCTTTTTTAATGAAGATTTGGGGAGATGCTGCAATACAGCTTCATATACGGAACTATTTTGGGGGATTATTTCAAATTATTTACACAATTCATAAAATGCAACAAACAGACTTAACAGGTCTAAGCTATAATAAAAATAGTAAAACTACTTCCGTCAGAATCAGAATGTTGCCCTAAGAGAAAAAGCAATAATATTTGCTCTGAAATAATACTACAAAGCTCCTTCAAAAGAAAAATGGCACAGAATTAGGACAGCAGCAAGGGAGATACGTTTTTAATAGAAATCAACTTGTTCTCCATAGTCTGTGTAATTTAAGAGACAGTTCTTATTAACAGAAAGCTGGCTAGGGAATCAAATATAAAGGGACACATTCAAAACTAAGGTCACATGGAGATTTAAAGGTTAAAAAAACCAAACTGAGCCAAATACTTGCCAACTTCTCTTGGAACTTCAGCGTATAGAAAGCAATATGTATGGAAGAGAATTTATGCATCCTTAGGCTTATGATTATTTCTAGAAAAATACCACGGAGAAGTAAATATGGTAGTACTTCATGTAGGTGATGATGACATTTAAAGGTTAGTTGGGTCAGATTTAGAAGTTTCCAATCTATAGGATATTGTAAGTTTTTAAAAGCCTTAATTTCCCCCCCCCCCCAACAATACCTTGTATTTTTAAATGCTTCTTACCCACCCTCAGCTGAATTAATCAGTTAATTTTACAAATATATGTGTTGCAGTAATTGTCAATCTTTAACAGAAGCAATCCATTTTAATTGTCTCTAAACAGCATGGACTATTAAGGCGATACTTTGCAAAGAATTGAGCTTTTCTTTCCATGTTCTCAGGAAACTTTTCCCTCCATTATACAGGTTTATTTACAATATTTTAGAAGTGGGCAGTTTTTAATCCTGCCAGATTTTGCTAAACTACAATTCCCAGAAGTCTCTGCCAGCACTGTAAAAGATGAAGGAAGTTTGAAGTGGTACATGATACATTACTTTGGTAGCTATGCCATTTTCCTATTTTCCATAGTTCCTTCATGTAGCCTTACAATCTAAAAAAATAGACACAGAAGGAAAAAGGGACAGGAAAAAAGTGGAAAGAATTAGCATCATTTCCTAATAATAATTCTCAATTATAGTGATCTTTGTACAATGATTAACTGGGTACAGTTCAGTGACAGGAGCTGTTCTTTCAGCCAGGTCAATGAAATGTCCCTATTCCCCATTCCCTCTCCTGTTGCAGTTGGGGATAACAGAGAGAAAAACCAAGTATAATGCTACGTTTTAAAAGGAGCACCTCTTATGTTAAACCAGGAAGACCAAAGTCTGAAAACTTGTAGCATGAAAGAAAATGAAAGAAGGTAATGATGATGATACTGACTTCATGATACTTTCCTGGCCAAAAAGGAAGCCAAAACATGCAGTCTTCCAGATGAGTGGATCTACAGTTCCCAGCATCCCCAGTCAACATAGCCAAGAGAGAGGGGAGATACAGTTCAGCAAAATCTGGGGGCTTCACTGATATGCCTATGTCATAAAGTCCTCCTGAAGAATGCAAAGTAAAAGAGAGGTGACAGCAATGTTTTAATCTCAAGTGAATATTTCCCTGACCTAAAATAATATAAACCAGGGGTGTCCAACCTTGTTTGCTGGGAAGTTCTGGGAGTTGAAGTACACAAATCTTAAAGGTTGGACACTCCTGATGTAAACCGCAAGGAAGGAAGGAAGTCAACATAAATTTTGCTCTCGTGTTATGAATAACCATACTTCTGAAAATAAACAAATTTCAATTGCATATTAGCAAGCAGTGCAGCTTAAAGATTTCTTTATTTTTATACGCAGTATAGATAGTAACATTAACACTACCACAACTTTAAAAGTACATGTTTTCTTTTTCCCTTTTTCCATGCAATCCTACTTCTGTACGCAGATTGAGCTGTGCCTTATTAATTCAAAAGACAACGAAATTATCAGTATCTTTGTTTTGCTTGCCATTTTAAAAAGTCTAGCCTACTGTTAAAAAGAATGAGATAGCTACTGCACAAACTAAATTTTGAAGGGGCACAAAGAGGGAAACAAAGTGAGGGCACCTGAATGAACAGACTTTTGTATCCTCTTTGAGCCAATCTCCTGAAGCGGTCTGAAGGGCACTAAGCTCATATCATACTGAAGTAAAATTCAAGTGTCAATCATTGCCTTTATATATGAAAAGAAGATTCATCTGAACCTCAAGCCACAAATGCCTTAGCACAAGACAGGTTCTAACTCGGTGGCAGTTGAGACAGTAGCTCAGCCTTCCAGGATGCTGAATCCTCTCAAAGTTTTAACTTCCCAAATTTCCATTTAGTCTGGCCCATGAGAGATGAAGTCCACCATTTCTTACAACAAAGACTTGAGTACACATAATTTTCACTTTGAGATGGGGAAGGCAGAACGGTGAGCATTCTTTCACTCACATTTTACATCGTTTTGGGGAGTGACCAAATGGCAGGGCTGCAACCTTTACTGGCTGAGCTGGGCCAGGTTCCAAAAACCAGTAACCGCCAGAAAGGGGCATTGTCTGAAGTTTTTATAAGATGGATGATATGCAAATGTCAAGAGTAGTACAGAGAAGTTACATCAATGCAGGAGGGTGTCTTTGTGTTAGCAGAACTCATATCAGAGGGAAGTCTTCCAATGCTTTGTAATTCTGACTCTTGGATTCATTCCTTATATTTCCTCCACGAACTCAAGAGTATAATTTTCATTCGTATTATTTGTGAGGTAGGTTAGGTTTGAGAAAAACCATCTAGGAATTTGACCTTGGGCCTCCCTGACTTTTGTTTGAATCACAACTAAACTATGGTACCTTAATTCATATTTTGGTAATCAGAAGCCAATAAAGATTTTGCTAAGGCGCACGCAAAAAATTGGAAGGCCTTGAGGCAGTGGTGGGATTCAGCCAGTTCGCACCACTTCGGGAGAACCGGTTGTGAACTTTCTGAGCAGTTTGGCAAACTGGTTGTTGAAATAAATCATTAGGGCAGAGAACTGGTTGTTAAATTACTTGAATCCTGCCACTGCCTTGAGGCCTCCTTAAGCATGAAAACCAGCTGGGTGATTTTGGACCAGACCCTCTCACTCTCAATCCAACCCTCCTCACAGGGTTGTTGTGGGGAAAATAGGAAGAGGAAGGAGTATTATGTATATATGCCATCTTACCTTAACAAGAAAATGAAGGCGAGATAAAAATCTAGTAATAAAAATAGGGTCCTCGTTTTCATTATTTTGTTACCCAGAGGGACTGCTTCTGTTTCTCCATTTTCCATCCTTATCCCTGATACAGAGTTTTCAAAGAATGCAAAAAAGGTGACTGATTAACAGAAGTGCCTGGATCCCACTAGTCAGATTTCATGATGTCACCAATGTCTCTCTCTACACAAAAAGGCTCTTCACCATCAAAAATTCATCAGAGCAACGGATAACCAGGAAAAGGTAGGTTGATTCTTCCATTTGCGGAGCAACATCTCATGCAGGAATGTATTTTGCAAAAATGCATTTGCACCAAAGGAAACCTGTGTGACTAAATGAGAATTGAGGGATAGGAAAAACCGAAGAGGGTTGTAGAAGCAGTGCTGGAAAGGCTGCTCCAGCAGAGAACTTTTTTCCTTGGCTGGTGAAATTGGAAGAATAAAATGGCCCGGTGCTAGAAGCTGACTGCAGTTTCTTGAAGAACGTGATAAATATTGAATATCCTTCCCAATTATGCTCTTTTTTTTTCCCCAAGGGAGAGAAAGGGACAGATGGACAAAGAAGAGGTTTTCTACCCCTGCCTCTTAATTAAAAAAAAAAGGGGGGGGAATGCTGCAATCTTTCTGAATGAGGGTCTGTCGTCCCCCCCCTCACCAATTTTACCTGCGCTCTGGTTTCACCTCTCCCCCTCCCCACCGATCGGGTTACACAAAGGTCAGGGAGGCAGTTTCAGGTCCAACTCAGTGCCTAGGAGAAAGGAGGCTGATGTAGTCCTCCCTCCCCAGGGCATGACTGCCTCTTTACTGCATGAGGTCTAGGCATGGGATCAATTTGGTCCCTGAAGTCTTTAGCCTCATGAAAAGCAGAATGTTAAAGCAGCTGTGGCAAGAGTTCAAGAGCAGGAATGTCCCTTTGCCCCTGAATGTCCTCTCCTCTTCCTGCAGTGCCTCTTCTGGAAAAGGCAACTTCAAGGCAGAAGCACTGTCTAATAGATCGTGATGATGATGATGGTGATGATGGTGATGATGATGATTTATATAAATAAACAAGCAAACGAAAGGCAGAAGCCACAACAGTCCGTTCCTGAGGAGGCTTGGGCAAAGCAACTTGAGGTTGCCAAGTTTTGAAAGGAAGGAGCAGACGTTTTAAATGGTTCCCTTTCTTTTCAAGGCATGGATCTTTCTGGTTGCTGGGCTGTTTGTTCTTGGCAGACGGGCCCCTTCGCCACCGCCACCCAAAGAATAATGGGCATCTGGGAGCCGTTTCAAGTGGACTTTAATTTGTCTTAATGAAACTCACAGCGGTAAAGCTCCAAGCGCCCCCTCGGCGTAGTTACCACATACCAATCCCTCGCCCTCGGTAAGCGAACGAGCGCGCCTCCCGCCTTGCCGAGCGCGCCCAAAACAGGGAGAGACGTTCACGTGTTAGCGTAGCATGTGTGACACCGGGAAAACTCCGGTCTCCGGGTTTTCGTGGGTTAGCCCTCTCCCGCACCCGCAACTAAAAATTAACTAGTAGTAAAAAAAAAAAAAAAAAAAAAAAAAGGGAAAGGGAAGATTGAAGGGAGAAAAAAAAAAAAAAAAAGTTGGTGCAAACTCATAGAACCGAGCCGAAAAACGGGAGGGGGGGGGGCTGTCAATGATTGCGCTCTCCATGGAAACCCGAGGACCAATGAGAAGGGCAGAAGCTGTTTATAGAGGCGGAGCGTCTCCATGGCATCCAGAGAAGCCTTTTGGAGCAGCTACTTATTGACAGTCATTCTGTTGCTTACAAATCACAGTACCTTTGGGATAAAAGGGCTCTGGCAGCCTTCATAATTTATCCGGCGGGAGAACAGTAGAAACCCCCCCTCTCCCCCTCCCCTTTTTCTTCGTCACCCCACCGAAGAGCCCCCGTTTAGCTGTAAACCTTGGGCAGCGGTGGGGTTTCTTCATAGGAGCAGGTAAGGTGACGGGATTATTTATTTATTAGGCTGGCTAAGAAGAGGGACGTTTAGGTTTCTTACCTCCCGTTTATATTGGGGAGGGGGGGGGAAAGCCTTATTTCTCCTTCCCATCAAATTGTGATCGTGGGTTCCCTGAATCAATTACCCTATAGCAAAACCTTCATTTCAAGGGAGTGGAGGAGACATTATCTAAGGTAACGATCTCGGTCGTGTATTTGGGATCGGGGTTTCTATGCGTTTAACACAAAGGTGTTTGGCATGATTTTCATTTCTTAGTTCTGGATACCCTACACCAAATACAAGTATTTATTGCTGTTATGTGTGGTCGATTTTCCCACTTTATGGTATGATTGTAACCTATATCAGCACCCCCTTAAAATTGCCCCAGAAAATTTATAAGAATCTCTAAGCCAACTAAGATGATCTAGTTTGTTTAAATTGTCTAGCTTCGTATGGTCAGTGGAAATAATTTTCAAACTGTTGATCGCATAATGTGTTCTGTATTGAGGTACTTTCAACAACAACAAAACAACCTTCCCCATTTGTACTGAATGGGTATGGCCAGGATAGAATTGGCAGTTCTAACCATTGTTAAAAGAATTTATACAACCAGTACTTATTAATTTGGATGATGGAAGATATGTCCATTCAATTATTAGTATTATTGTAGTGCAGCCCTGGTCGTATCTACTTAGAAATAGATATCACTGCATTTAATAGGGCTTATTCCCAGGTAAGCGTATATAGAATTGCTGTCTTAAATATATGTGTTCATATCTCCATTCGTTTTTACAAAGACAATTTTTACAGAAAAAAAAGAAAGAAAAACAAATGTTGCTCTTTATCACTCATGCTGATTCATTAAAAGATAGAAAGAAGGCGCCAATTTTGGAATACCTTTAATTTCTGAACTTAAAGAAATCATTACAACTCTTGAGAGAAATATCAGGGATTATTTCAGTGGTATGTTTCTTTCTGTGTTGTAATGGTGTTTCAATAGGAACAAAGCTATTCAGGCTTTTGGCGGTTCTGAAAAAAACCTCACCACAAATGGGATTGGGTGATTTCCACCCAATTTATCACCTGGCCTATATAAAGCTAGCTACTATAGTTGAGAAGGATGATTTGATTTGATTTGATTTGATTTGAGAGGTGTGACTCAATTCTCTAGGGTTACATCCAGGATATATTTGGCTCCTGTGCTTTTTGATGTTTGGCTGGGAAGCAACTTGCTCAAGTGTTCATCTGTGTGCTGCCTGGTGGTTAGGGACCTTGAACGTCTTCATGTTATTGTTTCAGGATTGTTCCCTTACCCATCCTCCCCATTCTTTTCCAATCCCCCCCTTCCTGCTCTCCCACAATTCCTGAATGTTGGACCTGCCTATTTTGGCTTCCACTGGCATGACTGACGGCTGGCTAAATATGCAGTCAGAGGAAGAAAAAAGTCAGGACAACAGCATGATGGATTCGGGCAACCTGGACGACAGCTTGACCAGTCTACAGTGGCTTCAGGAATTCTCCATCATCAATGCAAACATGGGCAAGTCATCCTCTTCCCTATGCAGCACAGATCCTCATGGTTATCACAAAATACCTGGCTCGGCTGCACCATGTTCTCCCCTTGCTGGTGATCCAGCTTGCATGGGAATGCCCCATACCCCTGGCAAGCCAATTTCCTCTTCCACATCCAGGACTGCACATCTACAAGGCCAGCCACTAGAAAACATAGATTACAAGACCAACCCTCATGTGAAACCTCCTTACTCTTATGCTACCCTCATCTGTATGGCAATGGAAGCAAGCAAGAAAACAAAAATCACCCTCTCAGACATCTATAAATGGATTACTGATAATTTCTGCTATTTCCGGCATGCTGACCCCACATGGCAGGTAGGTGACTAGAAATATTTCTGTTTTGGCAACTGTCTTTTGAGTAAGACACTCTCTTTATGTATGGGAAGGTATAGTGCCTGCATACTTTAATAGTTTTGAATTAATGACTAGCTTTCCATTCAAAATGCATCCAACAGTAGTAATGGCTTATTATAATTGTTCTGACAATTTGTCTATAAGATTCAGTGTAATTCCTTTGCATTCTAGATAAACCAGGTTAACATTTTATGGTTCTTAAGAGTAACTTCTAAAATTACATGTTCAGGGATTTCAGAAACAATTATGGTAGATCTACAAACAGTCTTTAGCACTTTTAAGTTATAGAGTTAGTCTTTTATTTTTTGGATCAAATTTCCTCAAAAAGTAACATACTTCTTTTTTTCCAGTTTTGACATTTTATATGAGAACCATGTTGCTAAGTTTTCTGGCTGTAGGACATTCTTCTGAGAGAAGAATAGATTTGTTGACAACCCACCATGACATTAGAAAGCAACCAACGGCACTTAGTGTTCGTGCTGAACCTTTTTCTGCTTCCTTCTCCCTTGAGTACAATTACTGTTGCTCGGTGTGCTTCCTATTGAAGTGTTTTGCTTGGAGTAAGCACTTAGTAGCACAAGAGATTGTTGTAAATGAGAAAACAGAACAATGTAAACAGGCATGTTCTTCCTTTAAAGGTAGTAGTTATCTATTATCTTCCCACTGAAGGATAAACACTGTGGATTATTCAGAGGCTAATGGTTGTAGTTATAGAAAACAGACACACAATCAGAATGCCAGTATAAAAAATATGTTCAGATACAGCCTTCCCCAAGTTGTCCACATACGTTGAACTGCAATTCCCATAATCCATAACCTACCTGGGAAGGCTGTTGAAGACAATATACCAGAATATGGGGAAAGTGTGTAAGAGAAAATGAGGGATGAATAAAAAAAATAAAAGTGGAAAGATGAAATGTAGCGGACGAGACAAAAGTTAAGCAGTTTAAGTGTGGTTTATTCTAAAAAAGTACAAAAGGATAAGGAATCAGATAGTAATTCTCATAGTGGTCAGATCTATTTATTGTATAGACCAGTATGTCTTAGACTCCATCCACCTATTGAGCCATCATTGGGGTACAAAAAATGTGGCCCGGCACCTATGGCAAACCAAGATTTTAAGTCGTGCAAAGACTAATAGCATTATTTTCAAACCTTAAACACTTCTCTTCTGATTCCTTTTCTGTTGGAATGCATCCAAAGTACATTGTGCAAAGACTGGAGTAGGCCTTAAGCCAATGGAACAGTTCTTGGGGACCTTGAGGGTTTCTTCTCCAACTGTCTTTGATTAGTAGACAATGTACAATTTAATGGAGTCATGCTACATATTGCACCATAAACTATTATTTATAACCGTGTTGACTGGGTTCACACAATACACTGAACCACAAACATACACATTATGACTTAGAACAATATGTCAACCTAATCACAGATTCTGTGCATCTAAAAATTGCGTGGAAGCTATTACCTCTCTGTCATACACTGGATGCCTCCAATCCATTCAGTCACAAATATAGATCCAAAAGATAAGAGAACTATCTACAGGGAAAAGAGGCCAGTTGATTTTTTTTTTTCCAGGGGTATTTATATTTTTTAGGAAGAGTTATTGAACCATAATGTTAACTAAAATGCTTTTAGAATGTTTAGGCTTTTGAATGCTGATCTTACACTGGCCCAAAGAGAAGGCTGTTAGCTTTGCCATTAACATACTGCTTTATCTTGAAATATCTCGATTCTCCATAAGAACCTGGAAACGGCAACTTGCTATGAAAAGCAGTCCATATTCAGCTTTTAGTGCTCAATTTCTATACTCCAGATTTTGGTTTGTCATAAACAGGAAAAACCAGGTTAATGCCACTGTAGTCAAGAAAACTTTAAAGCAATCATCCTTTGCCGGTTATGGAGTGGGATGGAACAGGGGAAAGGAAAGAACACATTAACTGGTAACCTGACCTAAGGAAGGTTCTTTTTCATCCCTCCCCCCACCTCCTTTCTTTAATCCATTGGAGAGGGAAGATCAAAAGCTCTGGCTATATCAGTTATATACAAGGCAAAGAGCTGGATGCCATCTGGTGTTCCACAGGACTGAAGATGAAGAAAGATGTGAAAGAATTAGCAATAAGCACGTGAGAAAAGATACTGGGAGAAAAGAAGGGAACAGAAGCGATGGGCTATTTTATTCAACACAAGAGCAGCCCAAAATGGTTTGCTTCCTGAAGCAGAAAACAAGATGGCACCCTCCCTCATTCCATGTAGAAGCCAACTGAACTTACAGTTGAATCTTATGTCAGTACTGGTCATAGCCACTTCCATCAGAGTCAGTAGTTAGGAGTGCCCAGAAGGAACAGATATGAATCTGCCATATATTTTTTGAATCTCCAATTACTACCATAGCTGGTACACCCAGTCTTATACTTAGCTCTATGTGATTTATTAAAATATACTTGAGCCAAAGTTTGAAGTGAATAGGAAAACCAGAAAAGACCAAGTAAGGGGTAATCACCAGGTCTTTTCTAATGCACTTATTCAATTTTGGCTGCTATATAAGGAGAAATGGTACATCTCATGATGTTTATTTGTAATTTTGATGCTTGTAGAAGTGTAGCTTATTTCAAGCATCACACTAAATTCACTGTTTGTTGAGTAAGTCATTATGGATTTACACAGTACTTTAAGACATAATTTATAAATCTGAGCCGCTAAGTTCATACAATGCATAGCAAAGCCAAACAAATGATAATTTAGTTTAGTGTATATGATTTCTGCCTGTGATTTGCCCACATTTTCCAGTAGAAGATGGATACTTAAAAGCCAACATAATACAAGCAGAAATCTTTTAACATCATCCCCAATTAATCTCAACCAAAAGAAAATGTGTTTCATTCAGGCATTCTTGTATCTGATTTCCCTTGTATTTGTAAAATTATAGATTAGGGTGCAATGTTGAATCTCAGAGATAAAATTCCATTGAAGCATAGCAGAGAATCTCAGAGAAAAACTCTTAACATTTTCTCATTTTGTAACTGATTAGTAGTAAGTCAGTTGCTGGACATTATAATGAAGATACCAAAGGTGAGTGATACAATTTCATTTCTGTCCAAAGATACCAGCACGCCACTTGAAATTCTCTCCAACCCCCTCACAGATGTCCAAATTCAACCCAATTTATGAACTGCTAACAACTGACTATGGTCAGTCTTTATTCCATGGTTGCCACTATGCTGCCAAAAATGGCCTCGTTGTAATATATTGAATAATTCCCACCCTGATCACAAAACAACTATTTCATATATGCACTTGTTTTCCTTCATGTTATGAATTCCTACTATGGAAGAAGGGTGTAGAGATTCCTCATATAAGACATTTATGTCAGTAAATTGTTCTTATTCAGTGATATTTCTGGGATATGTGTTCCTGTAAATTTGTTTTTGAAGATATATCTATGATAATTTCTTTGTTTTATCTATCTACTTATACAGGAATGTCATGTCTTGGGCTGATTGACATTACTTCCGACCTATTGAGAAGATGCATTTCTTTGAGAAAGTTTTAAAAAGAACTTTCTGCTCATTCATCCCTCTATATCCTGATATGGCCATAAGCATCTTCCTACTACTGTCATTCATTCATATATGCAAACATATGTATTTATGTAATTCTAGATAGATTGTTGTCCCAACAAAATATACCATTATCAAATGAAGTATGATCTCTTAAGTAGAGGGCTTCTTACATCAAGAAGTCACCCTCCAGATGATGTTGGCTCCCCTCCATATTGGACTCCCTTTGGTCCCAAAGTCCCCATTACTTGTCCTAAATTAAACCTAAATTAAATTAAATCTGAACAGATTCCATATACCTTTAAGTGATAAAAATGTTAATCTGATGAAATGTTTGGAGTCACATAATTTGGTTTTTCAGTAATTTGTTGGAAAACCACCATAAATACTGTGGATAATGCATTTTTAGGGTTGAAGGAAGTCTGCCATATTCTTGAAACAGCCTTTTTATAATATTACTGTTTTCAAGATTGAAAGCAACATTTGCATGTATCATATAATAAGTATTATTAATCATTGTTTTAGCTTTGTTATATGTTGCCCATAGTCCCTTTTAGCATGTTAGTTGGCTGTGTAAATTAGATAGATGATAGATAGATAGATAGATAGATAGATAGATAGATAGATAGATAGATAGACAGATGATAGATAGACAGAGAGAGATATAGATAGATAGATAGATAGACAGAGAGATAGATAGGTAGGTAGGTAGGTAGGTAGGTAGATAGATAGATAGATAGATAGATAGATAGATAGATAGATAGATAGATAGATAGATAGATGATAGATCTATTTAAAATTTAAAAATAAATATATGTAGAGAACTGGAAATCAACCTATAAAGTACCCACGAACTTGGCAGAATGGAATCATAATAATACAAACATCACCTAAAGCACCCATAATTCTTACGTATGTGACTAAATGAGGGACTCAGATTTTTGTTAATGGCTGACACAAGTTTTCAGAATAAAAATTTATATTCTGTTTACAGAACAACTACAACTAGAATATGGGTAAAGAGCACAAAGCTAAAAATTAATGAATATGAAGTACAGTAGCAGGTTTTTGAGCGTATTGCCAGATGTTTAAATCTCCTAGCTCCCCATGAGATTCTTAGAGAACAGAGAGATGCTATGTTGTTTTTTTTTAGAATAAACTAAGTGAGCGCTAACATTTGCAGAGAGAGAAGGGAAAGAAAAGCTTGATCTTATGGGTATGTGCAACCTGTTAGATTAGACACTTGTTTCTCTCTTTTTCCTTTCTTTCTGATAACATTCAGTATCTCTTTTCAAAGATGCAGGTGGTTTGGCTGATAGTTGCAGGGAAAATTATAAAAATGCTAATTAGCTGGGCACAAGCAGCTGTCGACGGCCCAGCAGATTTGAAATGACTCTAAGGCAGGGGAAGGGAGTATTCACTGACCCTTATAAGATTTCATTATACAATAAATTCTAACTCATCCAAGATCAGTTTGTTTGCAAGAATTTCTCTCTCTCTCTCTCTCTCTCTTTCTCTTTTTTTCCCTCCACTGGTGTCCACATTCTCACCCGTCTCACTAACTCCCGTTCCTGTAAATACAGACTCCAAGTCAAAATGTCAGGCCTCCCATCAGCAGGGTAGGGGGTGGGGGGGAGATGGAAGGAGATTCCTGTGGGAGTCAGTTGTATGTTTTGGAAAAGAGCCAAGATACCCAGGGAATTCAGCCTGGAGGAATAGGTTTTTATTTAGCCCTCCAGGCATTCAAGTCCTGCTTTTGCTCTTTGGCAATAAGGATTATGGATGAATAAGCATAAAGATATCTAGGCAACATTAAAAAAAAAAATCCACACACAATCCTTCACCATATCCAATCTCTTAACACCCTCCTGGCTTTGTGTACTGAAAGACCAAGTTATTTATTGGATAACTGAATTTCTTTGGGGATTGGGCTCCACCACTCTAGACACATTCTTTCTTTTGTAAAATTAGAACTGTCTCTTTTGAGGATCGGTCTCTTTACTGATGTTCTTGATCATTATGATTTTGCATTTTGATCGTGAACGCGAGCACCATTTTGTGAAAAGCTCAACGAAATGATTAGATGATCTTTGGATGCCCGAGATGTAGCACAGAGGGGTGCAGATATAATTCAATAGGCAAGCAAGTGGGTAAATAAAGTAAGTGTTCTTTATGTGGGCCTCTCTGTATCTGTCCTGGATTAAATTAAATCCAACAGTACATAGTTCTTATATGTAGGGCCACAGCACATTAAAATAGCCCAGGTGTATTTTGGGGTGGGGGCGGAATCTGATAATGCTGGCTTTCTGGCTATCATGGAATTGTAATGGATATTTAGCTAGTCTTTCTACTCTCTAGTGTTGTGAGAGCAAGGAAATTGCCTTTTTCCAAAGCTGAAGGTATGGAACAGGAGTGGGTTCTACTTACCTTTACTACCGGTTCGCAATGGGATCGTGCAGATCGCTTCTAATGACATCAGGGTCAGTGGGGGGAGCCTCCCGCCAGTTTTACTACCGGTTCTATAGAATGAACTGGTATGGAATGAAGGTTATGTTTTCCATTCCATTGTAAATTGCTGTAGTTATGCATACCTAAAATCAATGAAACAGGAACTGTGAATTCACCAGTGACTCCTGAAAACAGACAGCCCTTACTCACACTCGGCACTAATCTAAGATTTGTTTTGATTAAAGTTACATTTTTTCCCTGGCAATTTACGGCATCTTCTTCTAGGGTCCCCAACATTATTGTGCCGAAGTAACAACTGCAAGGACAGGCATTATATCACTTCAACTACACTTGGGTGATGCTATGAAGATGCTTTATAGCACTAGTAAGGAAATCACCTTTACGTGATTTTTTTTAAATGACTCCACCTTAGGTGATAAAACAAACTGCGGTTTATTTTTTAGAGCAAAGCTGGTCTTGAAATTGACTGAATGAATGACTGGTTTAATTATAGCAAGTAATATCTGCACCCCAGATTAGTTATTTTCATTTTTTACCCATGTTTCTCATCAAAATAGAGAAGTATGTGGCAGTACATATTAGCCACCAGAGAAACCACTCCACAGAATAAAGGAAGCCCACTTGTTTTTCCCCCAAATTTCTCATTCTTTCTAGCAGCCACATTCTCACACATATTGAGAGGTTAAACGGAGAACCACACACAAAACCTCCAGAGACACAAAAGCAAAGTACCCACTATACAAAAAAGAGAAAACACCTCTCACACACAGACTGGCAGACGAGTTCTTTACTGCTGCTGGGAAGTAGAGAAGCATCTGTATTCTGGCAGAAGAGAAGAAAAGGGAACAAAGCAAGAATTGGCCAGGCGAACCAGAATTATTTTACTTCTCTGCCAAATTTGGCACTGTCTTATTCAACAAATCATGGTTTACTTTTATTTTTGCATGCAATTTTAGGGTCCATTAGAAGAAAAAAAGCTCATTGATGCTTTATTTTCCTTAAGTTACAAGACATAAACATAATATTAATTAAAAAAAATAAAATATTGGCTGTGGTTCCTATTTCTGTGCACTAAATCATTTCTTATTTTTTAGTAAGGAATGAAATATAGGGAGATTTTTTTAAAAAAAAACCCCTCTTTTCAGTAGAGTGCAGAAACATACAACAACCATATAATTATATGTAGAAAATATGAATGTAGGAGTGAATTATTTAGCTGAAATTTATATATTTGCCAGTATGAAGGATAAGAGAACTAGTGTCAGTCTAATATTAGAAATATGAGGTTGAGAAGAGTGAGATCCTTCTTATGTTTTATACTTCGAGTCATTAATTTGAATTTCAAAACTTGTTTAGTTGCTTAATCTTTTTAAACAATGTATAATTTAGGAAGAGTGGTTTTCAAAATTCTGGAGAATTAGAGACATTGGTGAACTGCAGGTTGAAGGTTCCTGAAGCAGTTAAAACAGATATAAACTTATAACTCAGGTGGAAAATGTCTTTTTCCCATAGTTCATTATTAACTTGCATTTTAGGACAATCAGCCTGGAAAATCCATCCTATGTGTACAGTAGAAAGTAGATAAAGGCTGGATACTAATATTCTGTTTAACTTTTCTTTTGTTTAACCTTAAAAACAGTTGCTAGTGATATACAAAATTATTTTTCATTTAATAAAACTTCTAGAAATTTAAATTACAAAAAACAAAGTCCATCTGAAAAAACTTCCTAAGCAGAAAAGCAACTCAATAGGGGAATCAATTCCTCAGAGAGATAATGGACTCCCCTTCAGTCTAGTATTGAATCAGATCAGGGGTCTCCAACCTTGGCAACTTTAAAACTTGTGGACTTCAACTCCCAGAATTCCTCAGCCAGCTTTGCTTCTGGGAGTTGAAGTCCACAAGTCTTAAAGTTGCCAAGGTTGGAGACCCCTGAATCAGAGGATAAAAAGCCCTCTATCTGCCTGAGATGTTTCAATTTCAGCTCCTGCAATATGCAGGAGATTGTACTCAATGGTTAAATGGCCTTTATCCTAGTTCATTTGCAGGATATCCACTAAAAACACGATATGAATTTAATCCATTCATTAAAAGATATGTTGTTTAATCTTAAAGATAATGTTCTTCAGATCCTTATAGTTTGGTATGAGTAATGTACTTGTTAACTGATGAACAAGATCTGTTTTAGCTTGTAGACCATTTCAGTGTTCCATCTTTCTTTTGGAACAGAACATAGTAATCCTAAAGGGTCTCTATTTAACTGCATTCATGTCAGTGAGGAGACTTGCCCTACAAATTAGCACTCTTTCCAGAGCAACTCACATTAAGCTTTGCCTTTTAAATTTCAGAATTCCATTAGGCACAACCTGTCCTTGAATAAATGCTTCATCAAGGTACCACGAGAGAAAGATGAACCGGGAAAAGGTGGCTTCTGGAAGATTGATCCTCAGTATGCAGACAGACTGATGAATGGAGCTTTCAAAAAACGCAGGATGCCCCCTGTGCAGATACATCCAGCCTTCACCGGAAGAATCCAACAGGATGCAAGTTCCAGTTCTTCAGCTCACCAATCGGCAACCTCTTGGAAAAACAGCAGCATTCTGAAGATCAATGTAGAGTCCCAGCAGCTGCTCAAAGAATTTGAAGAAGTGACCAGTGACCAGAACTGGAACCCAGCAGATGGAAAAATGAGCCATAAACGCAAGCAGCCGCTGCCAAAACGAATGTATAAGGCAGCCCGCTTCTCCAGTTCCCCTATGCTTACTCAGGAAGAACAGACAGAGCTTGGCTCTCTCAAAGGTGATTTTGACTGGGAGGCTATCTTTGATACCACCTTAAATGGTGATTTCTCTACCTTTGAGGATCTGGAAATTACTCCTCCAATCAGCCCAATAACCAGGGATGTAGACTTGACAGTGCATGGAAGACATATCGATTGCCCACAGGAGTGGTGCCCAGCTGGGCAAGATTATGTGCTCACAGAATCTAACCAGAGTAGCTTGGACTTTGATGAAACATTTATTGCCACTTCTTTCCTTCAGCATCCCTGGGATGAAGGGAGAAATGATTACCTCTCAAATTCTGTCAACATGGATCCACTATTTGAACTCAATGACCCTTCTTTGCAAACAGAAATGAATGACTGGAGCAATGCTGGGTGTCTTTAATGAAAGACAGTTCCCTGAATGGAAGGTTCAAGATTAACCAACTCTAAGAACAAGATGGTCCCAGAGCTGCAGGACTTGACAAAAGGAAGAATCCATGAACAAATGAGACAGCTTTAGTATTGGGACCTGCTGTCTCACTGAAAAGTTACGGTGGGGGAAAAAGAAGATCTGGATAATTGGGGCTGGATGTACCTAAAAGTAACACATTTGATATGAGGAACACTATACCCCAACAGATAACAAAAAATAATAATACAGTGTCTATTTGTGTTCTTTTAAAGAAATACAGGTTTTTTTTCTATTTGGGGCTAGAGGGAAATGAAAAGGGGATAATTTCTTTGTGGGAGAAGGGAGGACATTTGAAGAGGTTGGAAGAGCAGGCCTTTTCTGATGATTAGGGTATATTAGATCATTGACCGTTTCCTCTTCCTTCTTTCTTTCCTTTCTTCGGTAAGTGTGCTTGTATTTGTTTTTCCCAGGGAAGATCTCTAGCTAAAACATGGGACAATCTAGCAGGCAAGTACAATTTCCATCTCTGTTCAAGGAGTTGCAACCACCTGTCTACCACGCTAGATCAATTTAGATTTTAAAACTTATATGCTTTGAAATAAATCAATAAGTCAAGTTGTTTCAAGCTTTTAAAACAGAAGCTATTATCTATCTATAGACCTATAATGGAAGTTATATTTTTAGCTACAGAGGGTAAAATCAGTAGAGTATTGGGTTGGGTAGGGAGGGAGGACTATTTGTAATAATGGAAATTCAGATTGAAGTGTATCAAATGCTTGTTATCAGAGGGAAATATAATACATAAGTGGGAACATCTGCCACAAGATTTTTTAAAAATCTATACATGGGACTTGATTTACTCTAGATGTTCCTTTTTACTTATTTTTGTATCTAAAATACTTCTTGACTGACTCTGTACGCTGTAATACCTAGACATAAAAGTCAAAGTAGGTAAACCCTCTGATGTTAAAGTTTATTTTAAAAACATTTCACTTTTTTATAAGTAGAAGCTTATGAAGGGATTTGTGGCATGCTTCAACAACTCAGTCATCAGCTCAGTTGGCTGATTATGTAGGGCTCTATTTTCTTGTCTTTTGGTCAACCGTCAGAATTGCTAAAACATTTCTCTGCTTTAAGTTATGCCTTGTCTTATGTGACTCACCAACCAGTAGCAATGTAGAAGTGATTAATGTAAGCAAACCAAAACTACTCATAATTGTCATGTTCTTTTGTGTTTCTACACTAAAGCAGAACACTATAGACCACTATACATACAGCAGAAAATACTAAAGAAAGAACAACTTAAATCTTCACTCTGATGAGTTACTTTTGCTTTTGAACTAAAACTGAACTTTCTTGTCATCTAACTAGGCACTTTTAGCCTAGAATCAGCTGTCATAATAGCCTTTTGAATGTATTCAAATAAAGTAAAATGAGGACATTTAGGGTAGTTATGGAAAATATGTTTTGAAAAATAATAGCCTTATTAGAGACACCACAATGGTATTTCATAGATGTTAACTTTTTAAAGGAGCTATTCAATGGGTCCATTCGGGTTAAGGCTCAGCATCCAAATAGAATTTACAGTACTGAAAAATTCTGCACCATTTTTTCTTGCCTACATATCTTTAAAGCTGTTAACCTAAGTGCTACAAAATGCATTTTGAAATATGTATATTTTCATATACTTAGTCTCTCCTAACAAACCTCTGGTGTGGAAAGTGTCACATTCTCAGGGCAAAAGTTATGGTGCTACATTACTCTACAGCAAATACAATGATTTGTGTGTGATAAAAAACAAACAAACACTCTTCTGATCAAATCTGTACAGAGAAAACAAAAACACGTGCCCTTAGATTATGTGAATGAAAGAGCTGAATTTGAATATTTTGCATGCTCTTAATTTTAGAAATTACCCACATCATGGATACATGTATTATCAGAAACAGAGAATCTAAATTTAGGGCTTGGTGCTGTGCCACAAATATTAATGCTAAACTCACTTTAGTCTGGACAGAAAAATGTATTATTAGTTTGTAATACCTTTAGCACTAGAAAAGTCTTTTAACAATTATTCTCACAGTGATCCCGCTTTCAGTTGTCCCTCTCTCTCTCTTTCTATAGCAATTTCAAGGCCTTTCCAAATCAGCTGGAGAGTAAGAGTGAGTGAGGCATGCACAATAAATGTGCATGTGATTTTGGTTTGTTTTGTACTGCCTACCCAATTTCTCCTGAGGCTTCTGATCATGCAGCATGAAAGCCAATAGTTTGTATTTGGAGGAAGTGCAGTATTTTCCTCAATCTGTACTGAGCAGTCTAGAAGAAAATGGATGACCAACTGGCAGTTTCTAGACTGCATCCATTGTCAATGGTGTACTTTCCAATAGTCTGTGGGTTTTTGTGGCCTGCAGTTCTGGTCAACACCAAAGTAGGTCTCTAATTAAAGGAAATAAAGTACATACACTCATGATTCTTTTGGAACAACTTTGAGGCATATGGAAAATGCTTGGAAATATTCCCTGAAATAAACTTGTATATGGAATTGGTAGTGCAAAAATATATATATATATAGTACCAGTACTACTTTCCTTCACCCTATCCAGCATTAAATTTATTCTTTGCAATTTCCAGTAGCTGACTTTTCCAGACAATTTGGTCATTAAGGATTATGGGCAGTTTTAGGAACCTGGCTGTACTTATTCTAAAATATATTGCTTCCACAGGTCTAAGGAGCTGAAAAAGTACAGTCACTGTGGAGTGAAGTACATTCCTATTATTTCATAACAGATGTGGGACTGCTGGTAATAATAGTGTTGGTAAAAACAATTATGCTTCCTGGCATTGAATAAGATTCAGCCCACAAATTTATTTGTTGTGGAAGAATTGTAGGATATTTTAGCATCAGAGGGAGCCCCATTATTGGGGCAGGGGGAACTGATCTGGAATGCAAGCTATTCTTTTCAGGTTCTAACCCCCTTCTTTCTTAATCAAAATGTAGTCGACTTACTGGTAATTAAAATATTAGATTTTTTTAAATTTAGGGAAGGGGGAATCTGTGAATGGGAAAGAAACTTTGCTGTTGGAAACAATATGAGCAGTCTTAACCATATCAGAAGATACATGTATATGATTTTTTTTAAATTAAAAAATGGAATAACTGCTGGAAACCCTCTATTTTTAGTAAGTGATGGAATAACATAAAATTTAAAAGTAATGTGAAAATGGAATTTATGTGCAAAATGGACCATCTGTACAGCATCAGTTTTGAAACAACCGAGGACTAGTATGTCACATTTAAAATTAGGAATATTGTAATTCCATGAATTCAGATTTGAAATTGGTTCAGTAATAATTGTGATCTATACAGATTTTAGTCTTTTAAAATCCTGTTAGTTTAACTACACTTTTCTACTGAGGTCAGTTAAGTTAATACACATTGGATTTGGCTTGGTCCAGCCCAATGTTGTTGTTTTTTTAACCATAGGATATGGCACTTCAAAATGCAGGCCCACCCACAACCACATAAAGCAAATAATTTGAGGCATTTGAATAATAGCTTACCTTTCCCTTACCAATAATTGCATAGAAATGTAGTTTAGCAATATGGTTAAAGCTGCAACTTTATGTACATTTGCTGCCTTGATATTCAAATTAATTGGAGCTTTGCTATTGATTTCTATAGGTTATATACAATGACTCCAACCTAATTTAGAAGCCTGTGACAGTTGTAGATTCTAATTTAAATGTTCTAATTAGGTAATCAAACTAATGTTTATTTTGTAAATTTTAGAATCCTGAATTTGTTTCGGCTCTTTTCAGCAGAAGCAGATGCCAGAGAAACTGGTCTGTGTTTCTGGATTGACTGTTGCTGAAAACTCTGCTTCCATTCTCCTTTTTTAAAAGTAATAGTAATAATAAACATAATGTCAGCATTTTGGACCACCGGCTGCTGTCAAGATTAAGTGAAGTACTATGGAGCAAAGCCAGTTTGCTATTGGAACAAGTCGAGAGCATTCTCTGAATGGCTATAGTACAAATGTAAAGCCTCCGTAATGGTTCAGCCTCTTTAATTCCCAACCAAGGAACTCTAAAAGTTATAACTCAGTGAATGGCAGTGAACCTGTCAAATACATCTCTGCACCTGACAGAACTACAGTTCCACGAGAACTCTTAACAGGATACCGAAGAGTGAAAATGAGCAATTTCTATGCAGGGGGCTTTTATGCTGTAAATGTACTGTTGTTCATAGCAAGTTACACATTGTATTGCATTCAGGATTTCACACTGCAATGAGTAGCATGCTTTCGTTGTAGGCTTTGGGCTCATAGATTTACTACTAAGCTCTGTCAAAACTAGTGGCTGTAATATAGCGCTGACAGAACTTGAGTCTGGTTTCAAATCTGTCTCACTTTGTAGATTTAGTTATTTCTTCTGTCATCGTTCACTTGTGAAATTGCTCCAGGAGTGGGTTGAACTATCAAACTTAAGAGAAGTGCACTGCACATCCTTCAAGACTATGGAAACTTACCGGCAATGAAATCATACCATTGCTGGCTATCAAACCAGACATGGGGGAGCGTTGGTTGGTTTTGCTTTTTCTTAACATAATTATTTCTTTTCTGTTCCATTTTAATGGCTTGGATTGGGGTTTGTTTCCTACTCATGTTGAAAAACGGCAACAATACGTGTGCAATTTAACTATGGAAAGCTGTTTGCTATTTAAAAAAAATAAATAAAAACAAAACATTGGTACACTTTGCTTCCTGCTCTATAATATATTAAAAGTCATTCGTTGTTCTCAGCAGTGCTCTGCGAGGATAGCCAAAAGCAAGTATGCAGAGCAAAAGACAGCATTTCCACTAGTAACACGGAGGCCATCAGATTATACTAGGCCACATATGGTCATTAAGCATCATTACACAGAAGCAATCTCATTAGCAGAAGTATATCTGATGCAATAATGCCCACTCCATATGGGATCTGAGATACCTGTTTGCTCCTGAAATTTGTTTCAGCCTGCAACTTAAAGTTGTTCTTAGTTCTGGAGTAGTTGCAAGATTCTTCGTTGAGTCAGTAAAGTTGAAATAGCCCTCTGAGGCTATTCAGCTTGTGATATATAGCCAAAGCAATATGATCTATCAAGAAATTGTTCTGTATTCCTGGAGACCACCACCACTAACTACTTCTGAAACAGCTACTACTATCACCAATACAACCTACTTGTGATTCTATGCCTGGCTGCGACCTCCAGTCCTCCCTATCAGTGGTGGGATTCAGCCAGTTCGCACCACTTCAGGAGAACCGGTTGTTAACTTTCTGAGCAGTTTGGTGAACTGGTTGTTGGAAGAAATCATTAGGGCAGAGAACCGGTTGTTAAATTATTTGAATCCCACCACTGCTCCCTATGGTGCTCAAATTTATTTTCTCTCTCTCCCACTCTTGCAAAAACTTAAAATGATATGAAATATGCTGCAGCGGACCTCATTTAATTCCTTTCTCCACAATGCACACAGAAAAATACCAGGGAGTGTCTTCTTCGTTTTGCACCACTTCAAGGTCAACTCTGGAGCTTTCTAATCCCACACCAGTGCTTAGGGGCAGCCGAATCATTCCAAATTCTGCTTCTGTGGAATTTATATCCAAGTTGGTTCCCTCTCTCACTTCATTTCTGCATATCTTGAAAGCAATCCATTTTGCCATTGGTGAGGATTTTCACTTCCATGTGCTTCCTATCTCTTGGGCTTAAATCAACCATTGCTTGCTTTCCCTGTTGTAGTGGTTCAGCATCTTGTCCTACACCTTGTCTCTTCCTGCCTTCATTGTTAGAGTTTATCTCCCCCATCACTCAATCCAATATGCAATTGTAGTTGCAACTACCGGAAAACGTGCCAACTTGCAAAACTGCTGAGATGCTATCATTTCCCCTTCACAATTCATAGCTGCTTTTAAATGAAAGACAGAAATGGGAAGGAGGCATTTGGGAAGCTTTCAGACCTCTTCAGGGCTGCTGTCTAGTCTTTTTTTTTTATTTATAATCGATCTTACCTCAGATAGCCTCACTTCATCGCAACCTCTCAAACGTTTTTTGGAAATCATTAAAGACAAAAGCCCCCTGTACTAAAAGACACGGAATAGGGGACACTCAGTTGTTTTTATTTTGTGTGGAATGAAGGAGATATTTGCTATACCACAGCTGATTATAGCTCAGGGAGGAGGGCACTGAATGATAAGATCCCATTGGTCAGATGGAGGAAAAGGGGGTTTAGCATCAACTGAGTTATAATCTCTTCATCATTTCAAGGTTGGCAAAAGTATAAGTGACTGGGGGGGTGGGGTGTCATTCTGAAATAGTTTTGGGAGGGATGGGGAGATGGAGAAACTGATGATTGGGAATTGCACCAAGCTTTATCCTGAGTTTATTCACTTCCACTATTCAGTCAGTAAAATGCCAAACTTGACTCTGCTGGCATGTCTGCCTGCCTGCCTGCCTGCATGCCCCTCTCTCTCTCTCTCTCTCTCTCTCTCTCTCTCTCTCTCTCTCTCTCGCACACACACACACACACACACACGCACGCACGCACGCACGCACGCACACACACACACAAAAGAGGAACAATTCCGTCTCTCCCCCCCATCTAGGCCACCCTGAACAGTGGCTCTTGGCAGTTACACTGAGGCTGGGCCTGATATACAGTAGAGGCCTCAACTTCTGCCCTAGCACAACTCTTGTTACTCAAAAAGGCCACCTTGTGCCGTTCCCCAAGGCAATTGCTCCTGTGGCTCAGCACTCCGCAGAATCTACCATGCCACTTACCTTCAGGCAATACTTTCTTTCTGTGGATTACATGAAGCTGCCCCAGGTCGCACGAGGCCTTCATTCTTGAATTGGCTTTGGAGAATATTCTTCCACAGCTTCTGCAGCTTCTAAAAACCATGCTGCTTCCAAAAAGCAGCATGCCTTGTGTGAGTTTCAGAGTACACCCCATTCTCTCATTACCTCTACAGCCTTCAAAAATCATATGAGAACAAGGCATGCTTTCAAGAATAGTTGTTGGTGGGTGTTGGTGAACACTGGCATGTCACCCAAAAACGTCATGGCATGCCACCTTTGATAGATTCACCATCAGGGCACTAAATCATCCTTCCCTGATGTGAGTTAGTTCAAAGGGGCTGAGGAAGACAATTGAGAACCAGATTTCAAATTACAATATTGTTTTAAAATCACGATTGAAAAATACAACAGTGCACATTTAAAATCTCAATGTAGAAGCATGACAAGATAGAAATAAAATAAAATAAATAAAACTGGTAAAAATCACTGCAAATAAGGCAGTGATGTGAAAAATTGAACTAAATAACTTCAGAATGTATGGAGTTCTCAAGAGGGATCAGTCATTAAAAAGGTTAACTTTTTAGCTGACTTAAGAAGGAGTGGGAAACTCACTCATATGGAATTCATATGGAAGCAAGCAGTTCTAAGCCATTTAATTCTTTAAAGGTCATAACTAGCATCCTGAGCAAAGCTTGGGAGAGAGCCAATACATTTAGAATAAGAATTGGGTGGTATACTCTGATTTTCATATGCCAACCAAAATCCACCCTGGTAACTATATCAGTTGAATGATTTTCATGATTTTGATTTATGATGTGTCAACAAAGAATGGATTTGAACCAGCCTTTACTTCATATACCTATCCCTACCAGCTCATGCTCATTTATTTAACAAGACTATTCTACAGCCAGGATACATCATCCTCTACACATGAGTCTAATGCCTTTCAATTGGAATAGTTCTTATTATCCTTCAAAAGGTAAGTTTCTGCAGTTACTTGCTTTGTAAGACATAACTAGCAAAGCAATATGCACTAACATTTGTCTAAAATCAGTTCAATTGAATACATGAAGGCACCGTGAAACCTCCTGTAAGATATGGTATATATACTGTAGAACCACAAAATAGAGCAGAAGATTAAAACTGAAAGCTTTATAAGTAGTGCAAAACTAAAAATCATGAAATATATCTAGAAAACATGTTTAGCAATATAAGCATATCCTTAGAAAATTCTTATTTATATATTTTACTTTATTGTATTTTAAAAAGAAAACTTCAACTTCTTTGCCTTTCTGATAAGCTTAAGGTTTTCCAAGTACATGGAGAAATCTCTTATTTCTTCCACCTCCTTATTTCTTATCTCTCTTACTTTGTAGTAGCCCCATTTTCTTTTTGTTTTTTACATATAATTTTATTAAGAATCTTGATTACAAAAGTAAAAACAAAAGCAAACTAAACTTAGAGAAAGAGAATCGAAAAGAATAAAAAGTGCAGAGAAAAAGAAAAACAAAGAATACAAAGAGAAGAAAGAATATAATAAAAAGAAAACAAACATATAAAGAAGTGGGTTTCAACCTTCAGCAGAACAAGCATAAACAAACTTGGTGACTTTTCACTCCCTATGTGGTTACAAATAGGCATCTCTTCAATCACATCATCCCTTATCTTATCCCATCCCAAATTCATCAAATATCAATTTTTCAACAACTAGTATCAGTAAAATGTTCATAAACAGTTGCCAAAACTTTGCAAAAAATATTTATTTTAACCCTGATCAAATAAACCAACTTTATATACCTTCCTTTTACTTCTAACAGTTTTAATCTTTAATTTAATCTTCAATTTAAGTATTGTCATAGGATTTCATTTCTTTTCAATTCTTCTTAATCCCATCACCTAGATTTCTTTAAGGCTTTAACAAGCCTCTTTTTAAAATCCAGTTGGAAAACATTTTCCAGGTCATTCTCTGCAAATATCATTTGTTATTTCCTTTTTATTTTTAAAACTTTAGTCAGTTTCTTTTGCATATCCAGTTTCTTATTTCTTTGTATCAAAGGCAAAGGATGCTGAGATGCCTTATTTTGTTCTGAGGTAAATGTTGAGCAAATTTTATCTGACAAAGACACAGAAAGTACATAAAGTTAAACTACAAATGACAGACAAAGAGAATGGTTTGAATAAGAATCCTAATTCAAACCATTCTCTTGGCCCGTCATTTGTAGTTTAACTTTATGTACTTTCTGGTCTTGTCAGATAAAATTTGCTCAACATTTGCCTCTGAGCAAAATAATGCATCTCAGCATCCTTTGCCTTTGGGACAAGGAAATAAGAAACTGGACTCAGGGAAACACTAAGTGGTAGAATGGTAGAAAGGAAAGGTTCCAGAGTCAAAGAGCCCTACACACTTGCCAGCTGTGGGTAGGTGGCTGGTTAGTTTAAAAAGTGGCCACCACACTCAAATATGCTTGGTATCATGAGGAATATGAACACTATAGTCTATCTGCTGGAATGAGTCCATCTCCATTGGGGGTTGTTGCTCTCAGCTCTCACCTTTGCACTATCATTCAACCAAGCCACAAGAGAGGCAGAGTAGGTCCACCTGTGCAAGAATCTTGCTCCCAGCTCTTCTTTCTCAGTGGCATCCGCTGGAATTAGGTTTAAGTATAGATACCTACACTTGCTTGTTTCCTTTTTCCTCCTCAGTGCCTCTCCTTCCTGATTACAATCCTGTCAATTATCTAGTAATTATTTCATAGAAATCATACTGGAAGTCCTTCCATTACTGTAATTAAATAAAGCTAAGGAGATTCCAGTTCATAGCATTTAGCATAACTGGAACAAAAGATCTCCGTGGCTTCTTTCCACTGGTACATTTTCTAAAGAGAGGAACTGGACAGAAGCAGGACTGGATGAAAAAGGG